ATATGCTCAAAAGTTAAAAGATCCATCACTGGTATGAAAATGAAAACAGTAAATAGCTTAAGAATCTTTTTACCATAATCAGATGAACCCGACATCTCATAACATTTCATGTAGGCATTCCAGAAAAATTGGCATTTCATAACACTTCATGTACACATCACAGATGATCGGAGTTGTCAAGAATGAAATGATAATTGTTTCGAATACAACCTGTACTACGTATTTTGGTTTAATCCAGATTATTCACTTTAGGTTTCAGCTTAATTCAGGTCATTTTGTTTTTGGATTTCGACATATGCCAGATCTTTCTTCAGCTTAGTCTAAATTATTCTTTTCAGACTTCGGTTTAGACCAGGTCATTTTGCTTTTGGATTTCAGCATATGCCAGATCCTTCTTCAGCTTAGTCTAAATTATTCTTTTTTTACTTTGGCTTAGACCAGGTCATTTTACTTTTGGATCCTTCTTCATCTTAATCCAGATTATTCTTTTCAGACTTCGACTCAGACCATGTCATTTTGCTTTTGAATTTTGGCATATGCCAGATCTTTCTTCAACTTAGTCCAAATTATTCTTTTTAAGCTTCGGCTCAATTTAGGTCATTTTGCTTTTAGAGTTTAGCATATGTTAGATCCTTATTCAGTTTAGTCCAGATTATTCTTTTCAGACTTCGACTTAGATTAGGTCATTTTGCTTTTAGATTGTGACATATGTCAGATCCTTCTTTAGCTTAGTCCAGATTATTTTTTTCAGACTTTGGTTCAGACCAGGTCATTTTACTTTTGGATTTCGGCTTATGCCAGATCTTTCATTAACTTAGTCTAGATTATTCTTTTCAGACTCTGACTTAGACCATGTCATTTTGCTTTTGCTTTTAGATTTAGATTTATGCTAAATCCTTCGTCAGCTTAGTCTAGATTATTCTTTTCAGACTCCGGCTCAGACCAGGTCATTTTACTTTTAGATTTCGGTATATGCTAGATCTTTCTTCAGCTTAGTCCAAATTATTCTTTTCAGACTTCGCTTTAAACCAGGTCATTTTGCTTTTGGATTTCACCCTATGTCATATCCTTTTTTAGCTTAGTCCAAGTTGTTTATTTTAGACTTTGGTTCGATATAGGCTTGTGCCGAGTCCCTTTTGACTTAGTTTAAATCGTTCATCTTAAATTTTGGTTCAATTTGAATGTTTTTGTCTTCAGATCATAGTAGTTTGGCTTATTCTTTTTTTTATATTAGGTCTTGATGGGTGTCTACGTCTATGTCTTTGCATAATTTTTGTTTCACAGAAAATATGCAAAAAGAGGTAACTGTAGACACCTATTTTTATTTTTATTTTTTTATTGATTTATTTTTATATTTTTGAATCAAATTGTTACAAATAAGTTAATGAAAATTTGAAAAAATAAATAAATAAAATAAAAGCAGAGTTTTAATCCTAGTAAAATGCTAGGATTAAAACTTTGAATTTTGAAGCTGGGATCAATCAGGAGGAGTTTTTAAAAAACAAGGATAAACAAATTAAAAGGAACAGCATTTTGATTTTCAAATCCTCGTGTACTATAGTGAATGAAGGCCTATATAACGACCATCAACCATACAGAAAAGAAGATAGAGAAGAGTGGAAAAATAAAAGGAAAAAATAATTTTCGAAGAATTGATAGTTTGTAGTATAAAGTTTTTGGGAGGTTGGTTGTTTAGATTGGAGGATTAGGGTTTTTTTTGGAATTTTTTTACATTTTTTTTGGGAATTTTTTGAAACTTTCAGAATTAGGCTGAATTTTTCGGTGAAAACTTGAATTTTTTGACAACTTTCCGGTGAAATATCCAGTTTTTGGCAATAAACCCAAAAATCGATGATTTTTTTTACAACATTTGACGGGAAAACGACATCCGAAAATCACCTAAAGTGAGAAGGAGCCGAGGTAGAGAGAAAGGCGAAAACATCTGAGGAGAAGGAAATTTTTTGCCTTATATAGTGATCGAAAACAACGTCATTTTGATGAAACAAGATCTGCGTGTTTTCTTTGGTCCGACCCAACCCATGCTGCTGATCCAAAAACCTGACCTTATTACCTAAGCCATCCAGCCGAACCGCATATCGAGCCGTTTCAGCCACGCCTGTCTCTGGAGCCATACCTCATTCCAGCTCAACCGAGCTGCGTCAAGGTTTTTAAATCTTATTTATCTATTTATTTATTTTTGTATTTGTTTATTTATTATCATTATTATTATTATTTGTTTATTTATTTGTTGATGTGATTGAAATCATTTATTTATTTAATTAAACATATTTAAATTTTCAATGATTCTTTTTTATATAAAAATTCTAAAAAAATATTTTTGAGGAAAAGTTGAAAGTATCAAATTTTCTTGAAAATAAAATTTTCAAAAAAAAATATTTTTAAGGAAAAGTTGAAAGTATCAATTTTCCTTGAAAACAAAATTTTTTTAAAAATTTTTTTTAAGGATAAGTTGAAAGTAACAATTTTCTTTAAAAATAAACTTTTCAAAAATATTTTTAAGGAAAAGTTGAAAGTATCAATTTTCTTTGAAATAAAATTTTTTAAAAAAAGATTTTTTTTAGAAAAAGTTGAAAGTATTAATTTTTCTTGAAAATAAAATTAAAAAAAACATTTTTGAGAAAAATTTGAAAGTATCAATTTTTCTTGAAATAAAATTTTTAAAAAAGGAATTTTTTGAGAAAAAGTTGAAAGTATCAATTTTTCTTGAAAATAAAATTTTTCTTGAAAATAGAAATGTCAAAAATGTTTTAAGAAAAAATTGAAAATATCAATTTTTCTTGTATAAAAATATGAGTTTTTTTTTTCTTCTTATAAAACAACAAAACAAAAATAGACCTCTATCAAAAGCTTAAAGCATTATTTCTTTTTCTTTTCCTTTCTTATTTTTTTAAAAAATGTCAAATAATCCGACAATAAAGTCTCTACGAGAGAAACAATAGTTTTCTTGCATACTCTTGAGGTGAGAAAATTTTTTTAATTTTTTGCCAAAGTATTGGAGTTAATTATGAATAATTTTCAATAATTAATTACTCTGTAAGATTTTTAAGGTTTAATGGATAATACGAAATTAAGCTGGTACCATCTTTTGGATAGGCGTCATGGGGATACTATAACCTTTCTTACACGTAAACGTACTCTTGAACTTAATTCTGGTTTCATAAATATTGAATTTATATTTTAAAGACACCTAAGTTGAACTTAGAATTTCTTTTTAAAAAGAGACAAATTCAATCAGATGACCAATCACATCTGAACGAAAAATATTGATGGTGACTTCTAAGTCAACGTCTAACGATAGGTCTTCAGATTTAGATATTATGACATTATTAGATAAATTTTATAATAAAAAAATTTAATTAAGATAGAGATGACAAAATAGCTAATATCCTATGAGTTTTATTCACATTGATTCAATTAGTGGTTTTTTTTTTAATTTAGAATAATTAGATTGAGTTTTTTTTTTTTTTTCTAAATTGCGCTTGGATAAGAGTAAAATTTTATGCTTTGTCTTGGTATATATAAAAATTAATTAATTATTATTATTTTTATATTTATATATATTTTATTAAAAATTATTATTTAATATTTTAATTTAATAAATTTGTGTGACATCTTTTTTAACTTTTTTTTGTCAATTTTCGTTTCTAAAATTTTTTTTATTAGATAAATTTTATAAAAAAAAATTAATACATGTAAAAATAACAAAATAATTTATATTTAAAAGACTTCAAATCGTATAATCCAATTGGTGTGATTTTTTTATTAAAAATAAGAATTAGGTCAAGTATTGTCTCTCTTGAATAATTTATGTCAAATTAGAATCAGGTTTGGGATATTATGTCTTGGCGCTTATCAGGATATACAAAGAATATATTTTATTATTTATATATATGTATTATATTAATAAAAATATTATTTAATATTTTGATTTAATAAAAAAACTTTTATGTATAATTAAGTTATAATTTATATTAAAAAATAAATCATCAATCATGCAATTAATATTTTAAATTTTTAAGCTCAAATTTTTTTAAGAAAAAAATTATTTCTTTTCAATTTGTTTTTAAAAAATTTAATTTGTTTTATATTTTTACGAAATGATGTGATGGCAATAGGTGTCCTGTACACCTTCTCCTTTTAAAAAATTTTTTAATTTAATTTTTTCTTTTTCTTTCATTTCTTTTTATATATTTTTTAATTTTTTTATCTTTTTTATTCCTTTTCAACTTTTTCTTTTAATATTCTTTTAATTTTTATTTTTAATAGAATTATATGATTGTGTTAGGTGTTTAGTACATTTTCTTCTTTTATTTTTTTAATTTTATTTTTACCTTTCTTTCATTTCTTTTCATGTTACTAAATGTCTTTTATTTTTTTACCTTCTTTTTCACATATTTTTTCTCTATCTTTTTTCCTACATGCAACTCTCTTTTTTAACTTCATTTTGCCTCGTCATCCTTTCTAAACTCTCTCATTTTCTCACGCCTTTCTCAAAAAACAATATAAGGAAATAATAATGGTGTTAAAATGGAAGATGCTCCGCTAAGGTCGAAATCTAACAACGAAATGTACTTATATTTTACTTTAATTTATGTTTGTATTTCTTAAATATTTTTATTATTTATTTTAAAAAAATACACTTATATTTGTTTATGTATTATCATCCGTTAAAGTTTGGTATAAAATTTTATTTTTTCATATTTAAAATATAACTAATCCCGCAGTGGTTCTAATTCTAATAAACAAATAAAAATATGAAGCCCATGGCTGAAAATAACAAATCTCGTAGAGTTGATGCACACATATACATTCTTAATTTGCAAGGTGGGTCGATTCGCTCGAAAAAAGAAAAGAAAAATTACCGAAAGTCTTTCAAGGTTGACATATATTTATATATATATATATATATATATATATATAATAGAGTTGCATGTTACGATGCATTCATGCAACAACATTGCCTTGGTCTTAAATCTTAATTAAGCGGGATACACATTAGAGGGAAGCCTGGGCTTTGCAACTACAACCAACGGTTTTGCAAGAAACAGATTTTCCTTTGCCTCAGTTAGATTGATGGTTTTCTCATTAGGTGGGATGCTCCAACTGAAACATTGCAGCAGCCTTGCAAATAGCATCACAGTCATGGAAGTCCCTAGCAGGATACCCTTGCATCCACGCATTCCAGTGCTGAACGATATGAAACGCAGATCTGCCTCATTTAGCGACACTGGTGATCCATCCTCCTTCAGGTGCCGCTCTGGCTTGTACTTGAGTGGCTCATCCCATACTTTAGGGTTCCGACCCAGAGCTGTACGGCTAAGAAGCACATGGCTACCTTTGGGGATAAAGTAATTGGCAACGGTTGTATCAGCAACGGACACGTGCGGAACATTGAAAGGTGCAATCGGATGGAGCCTAAAGGCTTCCCTGGCGCATGCCTTGACATAGTTGAGTTTGGGAAAATCAGATTCTTGGACTAGTCTCTCCCTTCCAACAACGCTATCTATTTCCATTGTGGCTTTCTCAAGTATCTCGGGTTGGTTAAGCATCTCAGCAAGTGCCCATTCAAAAGCATTGGACGGATTATCTACCGTTGCAATCATAAATTCCTACAAAATTAACATACGTGTAGATATTTAATATCTCTAATTCTCTTGCAGAAGCATTCTTTTGCTAGTGATGTATAGTATACCCCATGCATGCATTCCGATTAATTCCATATGTTATCTCAATTATAGTATTTATATTAATTATTTTGAGAATGCATGGAGTATGTGTCAAAAGAAATTTATGTGTATGTGAACGAGAGAGAAAACTTACTGTAATTTGAGCCTTGATCTCTTCCTCTATGAGCACAGGCTTATCATTGTCATCTCTCAAAGTAATCAAGACATCTAGCAAGTCTTCCACACCCTTCTTCTCGCCTTTTTCCCACTGTTGAATCCTCTTTTCGATTATGGGATCATGGTATTTTCCAACAATCTGAAGAACCTCGTCCATAACTTTCTCATGGCCATCCAGATCAAGCCCTCTCAAGCATGGAATGTAATCAGATAGGCAAAACGAATAAAGATAAGCAAGAATAGTGAAAAGGGCACTCACGTGCTCTTCTTCCTCAAACCCTGGTCCTCCATCCTCCTTACCCTCCCCAAAGAACCTCCTGTTGAAAAACAGCTTCCTCGGCACATTGCCGCAATATTGTTGTGAAGCCACCCTCACGTTCACCAGGCCGCCTTTATCAGAAGTCTTGCATAGGTTATACACATAACGCACAAGATGATCAGCTTCTTCAACCCTTTTTTCATGAAGCCAACGATGTCTGGTTGGGGAAAGCAAATCAATGAGCAGGATTTTCTTCATTTTTTTCCATTGATCTCCCAAGGGCACAAGAGCTGTTGTTAAGTAGCCTTTGGTGGTGACATCGGTGGACATACTAATGGGTCTTGAAGCAAAAACCGCGTCCTGTTCTTTCAAGATTTGGCGACTGATTTCAGGACAAGTGACGGGAATTACATGCACATTTCCGAAGCGGATACAAGCAATATCAGTATTAATTTCTTTCATGAGCTCAAGTATCCATCGAAATGTGGGCTTGTTCAAAACCATTTCAGGGAGGCTTCCCAGAATAGGCCAGGGTTTGAGCAGGAGGGGTGGGAGAGGGGGTTGCTTCGCTTTCTCGTTGCCTAGAAATAGGAATTTGAAGAGTTGATACAAGGCAAATGCCATGACAACAAGTGTGGATAAGAAGCTCAGCAAAGTAGTAAAAGAAGATGAGGACACAGTACTCTCATGGAGGGAAGAATTCAACAATGTAGTAGCACTGTTTTCCATGGCTAAAGAAACTATGAATCTTATCCTTATGATGAAGCTAATTTATAGATGAAGTGTCAATTTATATAGTCATATGTACTGAAGGAATCCACCGAGTGATGAGAGTGCTGAAGGATCTTGTCACTCCAGAACAGAGAGACTTAAAGTGTGTTAATAACTTTCCATACATCTCTTGCCAGGAGTGAAAAATGGGAAGGATTATCAATTATGTTTCCTTGTTTTGACATGACTTTACTATTCTTTTATGCTTATACCTTGGAAATGTCAACTCATGCAGACACAAATTAATTGGTCCACCAATCAATATTTAAATACCTTTGAAATCCTTTTCTTTTATCCTTATAATACCTGGGAAATCATTAATCAACTATCATGCATGGTCAGTTGCTCTTAATTAACACATATTTATGATTATGAGTTGTAGTGTTGGCAGATGCTTGAGAGGAATCGGTCCACCAATCAATATTTAAATACCTAAAACTGTGATTCCTCTCTTCTCCCAATCTCTTAAAAATACAATTGATTCTTCACAAGCCAAACAAAACTTAACGTACAACATAATATTTTCTGATATGTAGCCAATGCATGCCTGTTTTCTCTTTAATTAATGGGGCAGATGTGTATTTAAGCCATAATTCAATAATAAATAAATATATAATTACAATTACAGATAAACAAAAATTTAAATTATAGTTGCGGCAGCATTTTGGATTATGTCACATTTATTATAATTATAAACATAACGGATAAAATAAAAGTGGTCATATTCTTCATGACCGTAATTTTTTTTTTAATTTCAAAAAACTTATCATAAAAGGAAATACATAATAATTGTAAACATGCTTATAATATTTAAAATAATTTATAATATTTTAATTTCATTTATACATTAGTATAAATATTTTGCATTTTTTGTTATAACTGATAAATTAATATGCATATCTAAAATGTTGTTCCTTAATATATTCATGAATGTTATGGATATAAATGCTATAACTGCATATGATTGATGATAATTTATCATTATAATATTAATGTCATAAATTAATATAATTATAAAGAAAATAAGCATTTAAATATTTTTTTAAGATACAATTATAGAGGCAAATGGATTAAAATCTAATTCTATGGCATAAACACACGAAAAAAAAACTTGTATTTGCCATCTCTCATTCCTTCTCATATTTTTCATCTAAAATTTTAAATCTTCAAAACATTCCCAAAAACTTATTTCTTACCATTATTTGTTTTTGTGCTAAAACTTTTTATCTAAAAATATTATATATAAAAAAATTTATAATAAACATAAATTTATAATTTTATTATAAAATTATATTTTTGGATGATTAAAAATTAAGTTCTTTATTTAACAACTAATAATTTTATCAAATATTTATTCATATCATAAAAAAAAATCAAATACCCATTTCCTAAAAAGTAATAAAAAGAGATGGCCAAAATAAAAAATAAAAATAAAAACTAATTTATTTCTTCGGTTGCGCTACTATTTACAGCCACAAATAACCACTGCAGGTGTGATTGCCATTTACACTGCCATTGCAGGTGAATAGCAAAGGCAGCAGGCGACGCTACCATTAAATAGCACCGCTATACTACGATGTGGGCACTATTTAAAACCCTGCAGATAAATACACATATATATATATACTATATAGATGGTAATTAAGTAAATATTTAATACTGTATTTAATTTCTTTATGCATTTATAGTCGGAGAATGTGATACAATATTTAGGACTTAAATATCCGAAATAGGCTAAAGCAGAGCTATCTCAAGTGTCCAAGTTTTCTGGCCAACAAAAAATGTGTCCAAGTTTTGGTATACTTTGGCCAAATTAATGCCTTAAAAAGTACTAAAGTTCACTTCAAAAATAGATCTTTAATATGTATACTTACGGTTATACTGAAAGTCATATTCTACAAATAAAAGGGTCTATACTTGTGGATTTTTGCTATTGTAGAAAATACAAGACATAAACGGATATACCTACACCTTGTGCTCCCATGAATATAGACGGATCCTATATATTGTCACCGTTTATCACTGTCTATCAGTATAGCTATGTTATATATTGACTTTTTTTTTTAAGCGTGTCTCAATATTAGATTTGTTCACAACGAGGCTCTGGACAAGAGTTTTGGACTCTAAACCTGATGGGACAATGGACATGGCCGAAATTTTTATTTTATTAATAAAGTAATAATTTTGGTGTTCATGACTTTATGGGTTGACAGACCCGATTAACACTCTCAGAGTTTTGTTCAAGATGTGATTCAATTTTTCCATTGGAGCCATTAGAACTGTGAACCAATCAAAATAATTTTAAAATATTAAAAAATATTTTAAATAATAAAATAATAATTCGGCTTGAACCCGTCCCGAACTTAAATTTCTAGTGTAATCTATATATGTGAATGGGTTTTCCTTAATTTCTAGTATTCCTATTTGATAGTATGGGTATGGCACGCATTTCCATAATCAAGAATGAAATTGTAAGAGGGCAGGGGATGCTTCCCCTTCCTAGCTCCTTGTCAACAAGTGCATTTGTTTGATACTAGAGAGACATAGCTTATGATCTTAACGCGCTAATTAATTTATCTTATTTAATCATCGATTCTAACCTTTGTTTCCAACAAATATATAGAGTGACCTGTCTTTGTCTACATACATAGTTACTATTGCATTGTTACAGTATTTAAATGGTCCGGCCGAGGGTTTGTCTTATTTTGTGGCATGGTTGATCATATTTAGTTACTATATATCCATCTGATGACAGATATATTATATTATAGGCTATTTCAGATTAAATGTTTTTAAAGAAAAATACGGCAAACATTGATTTCAACTCCAAAATCATAATCAAAGTATATATTACATTGTTTTCCTTGGATTTTCATAACGAGGATGAGGATCCTGCGGGGTTTACGTCGTTTAAGTCCGGCCTAGCATATTTTTGCATTTAATTATAAGCGTCTCCATTTCCAATGAAAACTAATAAACGCGTTTTTACCCTTCTTTAAGTTCAAGCACTTCATTCCTAATTGCAAATCTCTCTCCATCTGTCTCTCGATAGAATTAATCATCAATAGCTGATGGGGGACTTGGCAAGTTTGGCAAAGGCCCGAATGGAGCTAGAAGATCTGTATCTGGGGATCCCAGATGACTCTGTTAATCTCACTTTCCAGGACCTTGCTGATATGAAGCAAAAGGCAAACGCATCTGAGAAGAAGAAATCTACCAGCATGGAGCCCATTCAAGAAGCCAAAAATCCAAAACAAGGATCCTCTCTGACCAAACTACCCAGCCTTGATTTCAACAGAGGCCTGCAAGCCACCAAAGATCACAGCCATTACCACCAACACCAACACGTTCACCATAAACATTACATTGAACATGACTACGAAGATATTGACAAATTTGATTCACAGATGGAAATGGGTCACCATAATCACCGTCATCATGATAGCCAAAACATGCATGCATGTAACGTTCATCAATATGGCATTGATGATCAAAGTCATCGAAGCCATGCAACAAGTCCAAGAGGTAGTACGGAGTTTAGGCATGGCTTGGAGAGAAGTGTGGTCCACGATGATGTGAGCGTCATAAGCATGGCTTCTACCTACCTAGAAAGAGGGCAAAGGCGCCGACCCGGGATTCCTCACTCCAACATATGCACCATCTGCAGTACTTATATATACATCTTCCGCCATCGATGCCTGGTATGTACTTAACTAATCAAACTAAAGAGATAGTACTGTATTCCTATTTAATTTCATTTATCCAAAGCCAAAAATGGGTATTGAGTTGGGTCTATACCTATAGCGTAGAAACAAGAAAACCAACCGCTAGTCCACAAAGAGACTACAAGATTCCAATTAAACGAGAATTAACGAGCTCCTATCATCAATTCTCCATTGCGTTAGGTCAAGACAAGCACTGATGGTTCTTTCTCGTCACTAATTGGAAACTAGCACTAATCACTAATTGAAGACAGATGTTGCCTTTCAAATAAATCCATATTTGTAACTTGGACACTATATGGCTGAAAGCTGATGGTTAGTTAGTGTATGCTGTCATGAAAAAGGTATGCTCAATCAGGATGACGTACTGTACATCATCAATAAGTTGTCTATGGCTTTCTGCAAGTGGTTGCGACTTGCGTCCACCTAAAGAAATTTGCTTGTTCAGAAACCAATTTTAAAAATATATACTATACTAATAGACATTCATGTCTCTGTCTTTGTTTTTTTTTTCTTTTTGAAGAATTCATGTCCCTGTCTTTGTGACCAAGATTAAGTAATTCTAGTATATATGCATATGCAGGTTTGTGGAAGGGTGTATTGTAGGCAATGCGTATTCATGGGCCTGGGAGAAATGACAGAAGGTAGAAAGTGCATTCCGTGTTTGGGCAGAAGATTCAGCCAAAGGTAACATACCCCAACGTATATAATATTATATATATATATATATTTCCATTTAATAGAGTATTCCTTTTCGTCTTCAGTTTTTTAGTGGGCTTTTGGGGTGAACTAATATATGCACGTACTTTACATGTTAAAAAAATGTCTGTTGATGTTTATGACTGATTGGATAGGTACATAAAAAGAGCAGGAAAGATGGGTTGCTGTTCGAGGTACCCAAGCACAGTAAAGCAAGCAGAGCTCAAGTGGGCAGAGAAAGGGCCTCGGAGAAGCGGGGAGAGAACATATGGCCCCAGTGCCGTGATGTCGAGATCAAGAAGCCCTGTGAATCCAAAGACTCCAACCAGGACTCACGCTCCTAGCACCGCACCATCTTTTGTCGCAAGTTCACCTGCCTATTCCCCGCGCATTCCTATTCATCACCACCTCCCGTTATAGGGTTCTCAAGTTTATCGCATATATAATTCTAATGAAGATTTTTCCAAATCTGTACTAATTAGTTTTGGTCTTTAATCTTTATGTTGTTGCTCGTTTCGTAATTCTTTCAAGCCCATCGATGGGGGGGACAGTAATATGATGCTTAATTTGATTCTGTGATGCAAAATTTTCATATTCTGTTGAATCCTCCTTTTCTTTCCATCAAAAAGAAGGAAATACCTCCTTAGAAATGCTGGTAAAATAATTGGAAATTTCTTAGTTTGATATTTCTCTGTAGAACCTACTGCCAATTTGTAATTACAGGTACTCTGGCTTCTGCTCTCTGTTTTATTTTAACCCAACCCGAAATTATAATAGCTGCAATTTTGGAACAGGTCAAGCCAACCGGAAAAGAAAATAGAATACAGAGGCGAGGCAACCGAATTTGACCGCTGATATCAGGCAAAAACTTGATTGGCAGAAACAATTTATTAATGTACCATGCTACAAGTACGTGATAAACTCACGCAAATGCTCACGTATATATTATATTTTTACCTCAATTTTGTATTCAATTTAATTCTTATTATCCAATATTAATATAAGCTTCACAAACTTGACTCTCGTACCAAAATAGGTTCAGATAATATATTAAAAATTATTTATTAATGAGATATTGATAAGATTAGTTAAATGATAGATATAAATTATAGAAATATATCAAATATAAACCCAATTATAAAGTCTTTCTAACATATTAGATCTTAAAATTTTTAAGTTAACAATGAAAGTTTTCAGTAAATGTTGATTTTTTAATGATATAATTTAGACTGCAATTAAAATATACTGGCCATTCACACAAACTTGATACTATCATACCTAATACTGAAATGTAAATTCATGGATAGCAAAGTTTGACTAAAAAGATGACCTCTTTTAAGTTTACATCGGTGAAATTAGAGCATTCAAGAAGGCATAGAGGGAAATTAATAGCGTCTATCGATTTGAGAATGATTAATTTGTAACTCCGAAATTACTTGCAACAATCTGTTGCAGAAACTAGAATAAGGCAATGCCATTCACTTGGCTCTGATAGTTGACTATTAGTAGCATTTCAGGATGAGCTTTTAACATTAAACGGTGATAAGTAGAAATTTGTGCATATTGGATATCATATTTGGAAGGCCCATGGACGGATATCATATTGGTTGACGCTTTACGGATGATTTTCTCATGGATTTAGTTGTGACCCAGGCATATGCGTATCATCTATAATTTTTTTATTATAATTTTATAATTATTTAATTATAATTAAAAAATTATATAAAAATTCATTACTTATAAATATAAATTTCACATAAAAATTTAAATTATAATTAATTAATTAATTATAGATGAAATGTTTGGACTATAAACATCGCTTCTGCACTCTTATCCTACGTTAATAGACAATGGTTAGTGTTTTTCTAATTGTCTTAAAGGTGATGTGTGAGGAAATGTTTATTAATTAGTACTAGAATTAAATTAATCCATTTTTAGAGTTGGCAAATGTTGCTCTGTACATTTCTACTAGTACTCTGTAGACAAGAAAGTGGAAAGTTTCAGGAGAGACAACAGCAGGCGGTTTTTTTGATTTTCCCTTTTTCACCCAGCAGAAGAATACAAAAATTTTAAAAGCACAAACAACAGAAACTCCTTCCTAGATATTTTTCTTCCAGCAGTCAAGCTCAAGTCACCTCATTGATGTTGATCCCAACTAGGTTGTACCCCACTGCTTGCCCCGTTTTCAGGCGACTATGAAATTCACCTCTTCTGCAATATTATTGCAGCTTGTTGAATTATCAAGCAATGCTTGCCGGCACAACGGACACGACGAGTTTGACAACAGCCATGTGTCTATACACTTGGCATGAAAACCATGGCCGCACTTAGGAAGAATTCTGACCTTCTCGCCTTCTGCAAACTCTCCAAGGCAAATTGGACAATCTGTTCCGGTAACATTTAGTCCTGATCCATAGGTTATCACTGGAATCCGGCTCAGTGCATTCTTCTTGAGGGCTGTATTAGAAGCCAGGTGGGGTGCCGGGGTTTGCTCCGGTGTCCCAAAACCAAAGCTGTAGCCTAATCGTAGAGCACAACGGATAGCTGAATTCAGCCCGAGAGCACACATCAGTGCACACAGCAACGCTGCAAGGACTATCACCATTTTGTTGTCAAAATTGGCCTCGCTGGGATATAAGCCAACTGTACTGTTTAAACTGACTGGCGGCATCCCGGTTTCCATGTCTAGGAAAAGCCGATGTGGGCGATATTCAGGAGTCAACATGGCTTGTTATTAAGAACTTCGACTAGCTAGTTGAAGGAAAACTTGGAAATAGCAGAAAATGGAAAATTTCAATTCCTTTTTTTTGTTTTAAATGTTTGGGTTAAGGTAGCTGAAAGGCTTTCAGGCTAATATGCTGGCAAAATTCGAACCAGATAAAACTACGGAAACTGGAACATATCTGGCTTGGTCACCAAGAAATAGATAATGGAAAATGAATATCAGGGTGCTTAGAGGATGATGGTTATCTTGGGACCATAAAAAGCCAATTGAACAAAAATGGTCCTCTCTCTCGCCATATTCACTGCCTTTTGATATTAATGGTCCCTGTGCATGAAAAATCTTCTTGTCTTTTGGTAAGATGCTAAAAAGTAGGGAAAGTTCAACATCTTTAAAATAATAGCACTACTGAGAAGGTATGTGGTAAGACAGATTAGAAGATATTTTTGGGGTTGCCACGAATGTGCCTGTGAGTTTAGTCCAATGGTTATTTTTTTCCCATTATTTCGTTTCTTTTCTGGCTAATGGGGCATGGCTCCGATTATTTATGATTTTCGCTAGTAGTTAGGCGCTGCGTAGACTAGCTAGTGATAATGAAAATTTTATCCCAAGGACACAGTAACGAATTTGGACGTTTATGCTCTAAATTTTTTTCAAGAACATTTTCATTTTGATTAGAATCGGGTGACAGGAAAATGTTTTAAAGCTAATTATACTCGCCTTCAATATATTTTTTTTACAAAAATATCACAATTTAAAATAAAAAATTAAATGTTTTAAATTTAAATTTTAAATATATTAAATATAATCTTTTAAAGATGATTATATAAATTTATTTTATTTTATTTTATTTTATTTCTTTTATAATTAAAGGATACAGACAATAATTAACATCATTATTTTTTTTTCTCCCTCATAATATGAGAAATCTTACTTAGGTGATCAAAGTGTTGGGCATGCATCTACAGATAATAAACTACTTTGTAAGTTGTAACACAGGCTCCATATGAAGTCCTCAAATTTTAATTATGGGTGGGTACCTTGGATCAAATGTGTTGGGAAGAAATTAACCTCAGCTAGGTACATAAATTCTTTAATTTTTTTTTATGGGATGGAACAGGATGTGGGCATTAAATTAGTGGAAGGAGAAGTGAGGAAAAATTTTTAAAACTTTTAAAAAATTAAAAATTAATTTGAAATTATAATATTTAATTTAATTTAAATTTTTTTATTTATTTCAAATTAAATTTAAATATTAAATATATATTAAATTCATATTGATTTCAAATTAAAAAATAAAAAATAAAAAAATTAAATCGAATTGAATTGAATTAATATATTTTTAAATTTTTATTTATTTTAAATTTTTATAAATAAAAATAATTTTATATTAAAATATATTATAAATTTATATTAAAATGATATATAAAAATAAAAAATTTAAATTTAAAAAATGAATAAATTGAACTGAATTATAAAATTTGCTTCACTCGAATAAAATTTGAATCAATTTTTAAAATTTTATAATATTATATAATATTTAAAAAAATTTAAATCTAATTTAATCTAAATCGTATCTCCGTGTATTAAAGAAATCTTGTAAAAATCTCGAGGAGGACCCACAGGCCTCAGTTTAAAAGTCTTTCTGGTTTTCACATTGGATCCATTGGCGGACCATGTTCCCAGCCTTCTTTCAAATTCCATCGCCGCCTCGGCCCTCATGTGGGCCATGAAGCAAAGCTATATCCTTTTTTTTTAAATATTAGTTTAGGTAGGAGTAGGGATTGATATTTTTAGACAGAATGAATATGAATGCACGAAGTCATTGGATAAGAAAAAGAAAATCATGTCTCAAGGTCAAGCTGTTAGTCATGTGATCTCATTAAATGTCTTCTTTCTATTTTTAATTATGTCCATTTGTCAATCCCCTAGGCTTAGAACAACTGAAAAAACCAACATGTATCACTATAATTTATTTCTAAATAAAAAGAAAACAGCTTTAATACTAATTATGATTTGATGTTATCTCCTCCTCCACAGCAAAAACATGAATAAATGCAATAAAATGAGGAGCTTTAATTTGAAGATTAATCACTAAATTATGGGTTTTGTGAACATCAACTATGCACAAAAGTTGTAGTTAGAAAGAGTGATTGCATGCCATGTGACGCAACAAGGGAAATAAAAAAAAGTAGAAAGAGAGAGAAAGAGGATTCTTTTTATTTATCCAAAAAAAGGGTTTTTTTTTCTTTATAGAAAAAGCGAAAGAAAATTTGCAGTAATTATTTAATTTTAATGAAAAAAAAAAGAAATAGAGACAAGTTTACAGGGTTACATGACCTTCCATTTTTATTTCTATGGCATAATGGTAGTCCAATGAGACAAGAAGAAGAAGAAGAAGAGCGGTGGTGATGGACATCCAAGATCCGCAAACGTTTGTCAAACCCAGCCCCAGCCCTGACCCCAATTCGAGTTCGGCCACGAGAATCTCGGGTCCGCCATCAAATGCAGCAGCGATGTTTGGTAGCAGCGGCACCAATAACCAAAACGACAATGGTAGCAATAGCAGTAGTGCATTCATGAGAGGAGGTGGTGCCCACCACAGGAGAGCCCACTCGGAGATGAGCTTCCGCTTGCCTGACGACATGTCCATTATGATGATGGATCCCATGAAAGCCGGAGGAGGATCCTCCACGGCCAGCCTCGAGGAGATGGGATCCGAGGATGATCTTTTCTCCACCTACATTGACGTCGACAAGCTCGCCTCATCCGACGCTGCAATTGGAAGCACCAAATGTACGGATCACAGTGAGGGGGAGAAGCTGACGTCATCCTCCACCACGACGACCTCTTCGAGGACTAAACACAGGCATAGTAATTCGGTGGACGGTAACGTTTACGGAGAGATAATGGACGCCAAGAAAGCTATGCCTCCTGATAAGTTGGCTGAACTCTGGACCCTTGATCCCAAGCGCGCTAAAAGGTTCCTTCTTTTCTTTCCTTTTTTAAGAAAATTTTGATTTTGCATCAATTGTTAGGGAAACTGCAAATTGTTTCTTTTGCTTTGCCAACAAAACCACATCAATATCAGCAACCTCAATGTCAGACATAATTCCTAAGCAAAATTTTTAATTGGGAATAAATTGAATGCTAACATGTTGACGTGATTTATGGCCAATCAAAAAAAGAGGATTTTTGTTTTAAAAAAAATTTGCCCCAATTTTATAGAATCAAAACAAACGAAAAGCCATTACTTTTATCATCAAGTTTGCTCTTATTCATTGTTATTCATCTTTTTTTTTTTTTCGTTTTCAAAAAGAAAAAAAAAATCTTTTTACACCTAGTGATGCACAAGTTCAATTTAAGTTGATTAAACAAAATACTCCACTAAATGTTGTCAACTCCTGAATTAAGATCTGAATACAGTGCTTGTCAATTGTCATGTCAAGTTTTTTTTTCACTTAGAATTTCCTGTCTAGATGACTTTGGATCTCAATTTATATTTATTTCTAATTCGAACTTCATTCAATCTCCTATGAATTAGTCTCAATCGGTTTATTCCACTTTCATAGATTTCAAAGAGAAGGTATTCCATTTTTTTTAGTTTATAGTGATTCCTTGCAACCCTTTCTTCCTTTAACATACTTAGACGACCAATAACATCGATGAAAAACTTACTTTGTTAAATGGTGCACCGGTTTTTATTAGCATCACAAGCTGCCCAGTTTCATTCTCATATTACTTTTCTTAAAGACTTGTCCTCCATGAGGTGGTAGCACTTTTCATTGTGCTGTATTGTAGCTCCAAGTGAGATAATCCTATTTGTTTGAAGTCCTATTGTGTTGGTGAAGTTGAGTGATCATAAACTTATCTAATCGTCGGTTTTCAACATGCTCTTGTATAATTTAGACTGTTTTGCCTTCCTCTCGTTTCTTTCAGGATTTTTTTTTTCTTTTAAGATTATGCTTGTGACAATGCTTCTTTCTGATGATAGAATCCTGGCAAATCGGCAGTCAGCTGCTCGGTCAAAAGAGAGGAAGGCCCGCTATATTCTAGAACTAGAGCGTAAAGTTCAGACCCTTCAAACTGAAGCAACCACTCTTTCTGCTCAGCTAACATTATTTCAGGTTTGTGTTTGTAGATTCTGAATTTGGTAATCCTTTATGGACCTTATTTCTAAGAACTTATCCCCCCTTTATCTATAACACAATGGTAATAACATTTGAATCAATTTTATCCTATATAGTTTATATCTTTATAGCATTCTCCACTTGTATTCTCTGTCACATAAAGAGCTGGTTTAGATTGCCAAGTTATGGTTTTGATTATTGATTTTTTGCTTTAAATCTGTTTGATTTTGCATAATGTCTACACTTGGACAATTTATTGAAGTGATGGTCTTCTTGGGTATGGAATGTTGTAATGTGTTCTTTTATTATTATTATTATTATTATTATTATTATTATTATCAATAAAGTGCTTTTAAGTAGACAAAAGATAGAGGTGGCATCTTACAGTAGAATAAAACATAGGATCTAATTTTTCATGTTAGATTATTGTTACCATGCCTCCATTCCTCCATGTAACCTTTCAATTTAAAAGCATGTACATGGTAATGCTTATTTGACTGTATTTGTCTCGTTGGTCATTTAGAGGGACACAACCGGCCTGAGTACTGAAAACACAGAGCTTAAGCTTCGATTACAAGCAATGGAGCAACAAGCGCAGTTGCGTGACGGTAAGTATTTTATGTCCATTAATCACATACTTTCGGTTCATGTTGTCAAAACCAGATCAGACCATCCGGTTCATGTAATTTTAAAAGTTGAAATTATCATTGAACCAGATTTCTTCAGACTGGATCGGGTATTAAATCAGTTTTGACTATTTATTTCAATATTTAATGTTTTAAAAATTTATTCAGTGTTGAGATTTGAATATCTTATCTCTTGCCTTTTTATTATTCATCTTATCATTGAGCCAAGTGATTGTTTTTGTTAAAGATTGAGTGCATGTAATGTTTATCTAATACTAAATTTATATTTTAATAAACCCTCAATCGGACAGGCCAGTTGGACCACTGCCTCGGTTGAACCAGGAACCGGGGGCTCTACTGGTTCAACACTCGATCCCGTTAATGAAACATTGGTTTTAGTACTAATACTATTACTATCACTTGTGAAACTTTATTTATGATAATGCCAACTGACACCAATTTTGTCTGAATGATTGGTAAAACTTATCGTGCTCTCAATATCATACAGCCTTGAATGAAGCTCTGAAGAAAGAAGTTGAGAGGCTCAAGATTGTCACTGGGGAAACAATGAGCCCCTCAGAGTCATTTAGCTTGGGAATGCACCACATGCCATACACTGCATCAACCTTTCTACCAATTCCACCCCAACAAGGAGCTGCTGGCCACCAGAACATGCAATTGCCAATCTTCACTGGTTCTCAATCTAGTATGTCAACTCACCATTTACCTCAGACGAATCCACATCATCTGTCAGATATTATGCATAATGATTCTCTTGGACGATTAGAAGGGCTAGACATCAGCAGTAAAGGATCCAATCATGTGAAAACTGAAGGGCCCTCAATTTCTGCTAGTGAAAGTAGCACCACATTTTGACACGGCCTCTGACTCTCTGACTTATTTGATCTCATTGTTGTGTGATAGGTTTGTTAATAGACTGACATCCACTCGTTAAGAGAGAGACTCTACATTTGTTTCATTATTTATTCTATTTATGTTTGTGGGATAAATTCTTGATTGTTTATTCTTAGAGTTTTCCCCTAAACAGGGAAAGACCCCCTTAGGTTTGTGTGTGTTGTTCAAGGATTCTTTCTTCAATGTTCAAATTTTGTTCTATTGGCTTGATAGAACATATGGGAATGAAAATCTATTCTATTAGTGCTGAGATATTACTATGGTTTCATCAGTTTCTTTGTATCTTATTTGTTATGATCTTTGTTTACTGTGTTTAATCATTCCCGAACATTCATAGATGATTATTTAACACACCAGTGTTTCTAAATCTCTCTCTCTCTCAAGGTGCCTCAATTTTCTTCCTTTCTCCACGATTTTGCGGCCCTCCTTCCCATTAAGCTTTAAACAGTAGCTGCTCCATAAACTTTCTCCCTAATACTCGTAGAAATGCAAAGTTTTGGACTCTGCCTGAAGTTGAGCTGACATTATTTACTCACTTGACTTGCCTAGCTGATGATACTGTGGCATTTTAATTCCTACACTTTATCAGGAAAGCTCAGCCTAGTGGTTCCTGAGATGCACCGCCATTGGTTGCTAAGGTGAGAACATAGTTTTGACTGCTCTCTCCTTGGTAGGCCATTATTTTAACACTCAAGTTTCGACCCAGGACGCTGGCCACGAGACCTTCGAGTTTTTTTAACTCTAATCGTGCATTTGCCTAATCAAATGACGCGTTCTCACCTTTCTTGTGAAGATAAGAGGCCGAATCCATGAATTGACTCATGGACAATTATGTAGGATTGGCCTTCCTTTCATATTTCCATTAGCGTAAAGTGCAGAAAATTAGGAAAAAAAAAAAAAAAGCGAGCAAAGATATTATAAAAACAGTAGGACCAAATGAATAAAATACTAAATTTTTAATTTTAATGGTTAAATTTCAAAGTAGAAATAATCTCAAATAAAAAAAAAAAAACCAAATAAATGCATCAATCGACCTCTAATGAAGCTTTGAACGATGGGCCAACTGATGTAGAAGTTGGCGGCTTCCATTATGGGCGAAATGCCTGGTACCCATGTCCGCGACTCATGACAGTAAACCTTTGACAACAGGTAATATGGCTTTAACATCTGTAAATGACAAAGGTAATATGGCTTTAACATCTGTAAATGACAAAGGTAATATGATGGATTGCTCTTACGTGCCAACTGCCAAGAACCATCACGTCTCCACATAATTCCAATTGCAGCTTTGGTTGGTTGTATATTTGTCTTGTTACACTGTATATTTGCCATTTGGAAGCTTCCGTTTATATTCGAGTAAGCTCATTGGCGTTTTCCATGTGCTGTAGAATCGCATAACTTGACAGGTAATGTTGCATTCTCATCATCACCTGATTACTGTTTAGATTATTAAGCCGGTAAAGTTTAAATAATATCGGTTCCTATCAATCATCTCTTTGATCAATTCCATAATTGATTAGTATAACCTGTACATAACTTTTACCAACTTCCATCAGAAAAAAACAGATTAATTAGCCCATAAAATATATGGGCAAAGAATGCACATCTCAATAATATATATATATATATATATATCAGTAAGAAGTCAACCATGCATGAATCCCTATGATCCTCTATGGTATTGGATGCAGCATTGAGTGTTTTAATGGCTGCATAGCAAGCTGGTGGCGCGGTGCCTCCAAAGAGGCCATAGGTGATACACGGGGTCAGCCAGTTGGTGACCTATTTCGCATGATATGGTTGCATTAGCATAAGGTGCGGTCACCAGAACGGAAACCAGCAGCGCCACGAATGCCAGACTTTAGACTAAGTAGGCTGTGATTGTAAAAATTGAATTTTAAAAAATGTTTATATTTTTTGAAAAATTAAAAATTTTTATTATTAAGATGAGTTAATGAAAAATGTTTTATGTTATTATGTTATTTTTTGAAATTTTTGTTTTTTTAAATAATATTATATAACTATTAAAATATTAAAAATTATTTATTATTAAAGTATATTAAAATTATTAATATTCAAGAATAATTATATTTTAATATTTTAAAATATTTAAAATAGTATTACTATTCTTAAAATATTCTTTTTATTAAATTAAAATAGTAATATTTATTATTAAAATATTTATACTATTATATTAAAAGTTATCTATTATTAAGTCATAACAAAAAATTTTATTTATATATATTATTAAAATAGTAATATCAATACTTAATAAATAAAATATAAAATTATATATTTTAAACTAAAAATAATAAGAAATTATTATAAATATTCATATTAAGAAAATAATATTATTATACTATTTGACATTAATTATTAAAATAATAAAATATTTTTTATTATTTAACATATTATTATATATGTTATTATTTATTATTAAAATAAGAATATATTACTATTTATTATTGAAATATTAAAAATATTTTTGTTTAATAATATACAAAATAAAAATATTTAAAATTGAAATATCAAAGATTTTTTATGTTAATATTTTAATATTTTAATTAAAATTAAATAAATATTTTTATTAATCTAATAATATTTTAAGTTGAACCAAATCAAATTTGAACGCAAAATATTATGTTCAAAGTCATATTTACGTAAAATTATAAAAATGTTTAAAATTAAAATATTAAAAGGTTTTTAATATTAATATTTTAATTTTTAAGTAAAATTAAATAAAAACATTATTTATTAATATAATAATATTTTAGGTTGGATCAAATTAAGTTTAAGTTTAAAAAATCATGTACAAGGTCTAATTTAAATAAAATTATACTTAAATACATTGATAAATAGTTCTATTTATAGATAATTATTTTTTTTTAAATTATCTTCCTCTTTTAAAAAATTATCTAATTTTTCATTGATCAATAAGTTATTCTACCAAACAAATATTTAAAAAAACAAAAATCATTTTTTCAAAAACGGAGGTTTAGTCTTGATTTTACTTGTTTTTTAGCTTGGGCTGTGCATGTGGCGTAACTTTGATACTTGCAACAGAGTATGTGTATATTTTTTTCTAGCTATGGCATCCTTGGTCAAATGGGTGGCAGAAAATTATAGCTAAAGTCCAGAAGATTTTTCAGTTAGAGTGATTGTTGGTGCTCTGCAGTAAGTAAAGAAAATTCAAAAACAAAATTAGATGTGAAGAATATTCTACGGGTAAGATGACAGTCAGTGAGAGAGTCCAAAATGATTATTAATCAACCTTCTTTCTTGTGGAGAATTAAGAAGGGGAAGGGCTTGCGTAAGTTGATTTTGGAGCTCGATTGTGAAGTGGAAATGGAAATGGAAATGCCAGAATCGCTTGGCAGTACTTAGCACTTAGAAGTAGGTGATATACAGTCACGTACGCAACCTCTACAAATAAGATGACTCATCTGAAGCATCATAAAATATACCTTATCTTACCCATGGGAATTGGACGTGCCGTAATCAAAGGCATGTGAGAAGAGAATAGCCGGGTCCAGAGGCCATTGCATCCTTAAATTTCTTCTCTAATCCCAGACTGCGGCTTTCTTCTTAATAAAAACGTTGAGCCCATGTAAATTAAGGGGTGTCCATGCACACCTCTCAAATCCTGTATAAAACAATACTTTGGTTTTTTTAAATAAAAAAGATCCTGGTAAAATGATTGTAGATTAAAGTGGATTGCAACTGTCTTCTGTATTAGTTATCTTGTTGAAGAAGTTCAACTTATATATATAAACACACATACACTTGTATTTGTATGTGAATCTCTGTTTTTAAGATTTCAACTATTCGGCCTTGTTATATCCCAGGGAGTAATGATGGTATATATGCTTATAAGGAGTGAGGGGAAGCGTCTTTTGTTTCCATGGACAGCAACGGAGCACAAATATTCATCACAACTATATAAGCTAGTAATAGCAGGCATAAGACAAAATACACAACAACTATTCTTTTATTTTATTACTTTATTGAAACAAGTTCATCACTATTAGATTGAACTATATATAAAACCAAAACATGGGCTTATTTGATCGATTTTCACACTGTATATAGATACAAGAAACTTCAATTACTTCATCATGATGAAACCAGAACACCCTTGCAGTTGCAGGCTCAGTTGATCAGTTCACCCTGCAGCAGCGAACAACCATTCATTTAGTTCGCAAGTATAAATTTAGTACAATTCAATAGCGGATCATTAAGAAGAGAAGGAAACATATATACTTTGAGCAATCCACGTCAGGGGTGACTTTGTAAGGACAAGTAATTCCACATTTTCCAGGAATCTCATTAACACGGTCGTAGTTGAGTCCTGGGATTCTTGCAGCACCTTCCTTAACACAGTTGCATTTTTTCCTGCGATCTTCCATGGTTTTGGCAGCAGCATCCAAAGTTTTAATACCTGTACAGCAATTTGGGTCCACTGTCCCTCCGAAGACCCCATAGCTAATGCATGGAATAAGGAAGTATGTGACCTGTTCACATGTTATGGCTGCATTAACATGGTGAGGGACAGCCACCTATTGAAAATATTAACTCAAATCCCATAAGAAATTTGTTTGAAATTTATTAAAGATTTATTTAAGATTTATCAGATATTACTTTATGGACAAAAAAACTTAACAAAAGAAGAATTATAAGAGAAAAGAGATTTTTAATAAATAAATTTGACTTGCAAGAGAAGAATTATAAAAAGAAATAGATTCTTAATAGACAAGTTTAACCTACAATAGAAGAATTTTAAGAGGAGATAGATTCGTAATGAGCAAGTTTGTATGGTTATAAATATATGAAGTCTTTACAGTGTTAGGTATAAGAAAAAGATAAGAGAGTTATAGGGTTTTGTGGGATAGACACCCCATAGGAGTATTGAGGCTCTACGTCTTATGAATATGTATGTTTGTTTGTGAGTGGATTAGAAGAGATTGAGAGAGTACACATAAGTATAATGTATGAGAGCATAGGAATATGTGTTTGGTTATGTTGAAAGGGTGCACAAGAGTTTGGGTTTATGTTTATTTGAGTTGAGAATACTTCATAAAATTACAAGCGATTGAGAGTATCTTATGAGTATTGATTGTTGAGTGATGTTGATGATTTGATGTAAATTTATAATTTTCTACAACTAGTGGATCTTGTTTCTCATCCGTAGATGTAAGTCAATTAAATCAAATCACATTAAATTATTATTTTTTATGTGTTTAATTTATTATTTTATTTTAATTATGTGATTAAATTAAAGGCTTTTAGCCTAACATCACCGATATAAAAACAAGCAACAGCTTCATCAATGCCAGCTTTTGGTTTGCACACTTGCCCATGATTCCCTGCCCGCTTTGTTTGTGTTGATAATGTTTTGCTGCTTTGTTATGCTATCCAATCAATGCGGCTCTAGCCTTTATATAGAGTAATTGGGCTGGGGCATTTTTTGGTTGTTTTTACCTTGGTCAAATTAAGGATGGCGAGGAAGATTTTTCCACTAACAAGATTGTTGGCATTCGCTTTAGGTATGTTATGATTGATGATAAGGTGAGAATCAAATAAGAAGAAACTAGTGTGCGGTCCCACTGCATTGGATTAAAATTTTTTATTTTAAAATGTAAATTATTTAAGTTTTTATTTAATAAAAATTATAATTATTTATTTCACTTGATCATTTAGTTTTAACTATTTTTGATAAAATATCACATGTCAAAATTTATAAAAAAATGACAAAGATATTTTACTAATTTAATATGTGATAATTTTATATTATATTAAAATTTAATATATAATTTAATAAAGGTATTATAGTAATTTTGAAATAAAATATCACATATCAACTTCTTATAAAGTATTTATAGGGACATTTATATAATTATGGTACAAAAGACATTATAGTAATTTTGACTAATTATGGTAATAAGGGTATTTTTGTAAGTATAGTATGTAGGGTTGACAATCTAACCCGAGCTCGAAGGATTTTGACCCAATCCGATTACATAGGGTCAAATTTTATTTTTTTTTTAATTTGAGTTTCGGGTCAAGTCGGATCGGTATTATTAAGGAAAAATTAGGTTTGGATTTTAGACAAATCTGACCCTACCCGATATTATATTAAAATTATTTTTGTAATTATTTTTTAATTATTATAATTATATATTATATTTAAAAATTAATATTTATATTTAAAAAATAATATTTTATTAATTTCGAATCGGATTGGGTACGATTTATACAATATTAGGTCGAGTCGGATTTAGGTATAAAAAAATTTGGGTCAGGTTTGAATTCGAATTTTTTTATTATGAAATCAGGTCAGGTTTGGGGCGAACAAAAACCCCGTCCGACTTGTTGCTATCTCTAATGGTATGATGGGTATTATAATATTTTTGACCAAATATGATAAGAGGGTATTTTTATAATTATGGTAAAAATGATATTATAGTAATATTGATTAATTATAGTAAAATAGTATTTTTATAATTTTAATTAATTATAGTAAAAGGGTATTTCTATAATTATAATAATTTTGACTATTTATGAGAAAAAATATTTTCCTAATTATGGTGGAAAGACATTATAATAAAGTTGGATACATGTTAAAATCATATCAAATAAACAAAAAGTATTATAGTAATTTCTATGAGAATTATTTCAATATATGTTATTTAACATTTAATAAGTAATTTACTAGGGGTATTATAATATATTTAAAAAAAAATTTCACATGTCAATTTTTAGCCAATTATCTTAGAAAGGTATTTTTATAATTATTGTATGAAGATATTATAATACTTTTAATTAATTATAAAAAAGAAGTATTTTCATAATTATGGTAAAAATGCATTGTAGTAAATTTGGACATACGTTAATATCATATCAAATAAACAAATGGTTATTATAATAATTATCAAGATAATTGTTTTAATATATGTTATTGATTTTGAAATAAAATGTTATATGTCAACTTCCTATTAAGTATTTATAAAATGTATTTTTGTAATTATGATGAGAGAGATATTATAGTAATTTTGATTAATTATGTCAAAAAAAATGTAATTATGATAGAAAGGTATTATAATATTTTTAATTAATAATAAGAGAAAATGTATTTTCATAATTCAATAATAAGTGAAAAGGGTATTTTATAATTATGATATAAGAGTATTATAATAAATAATTATAAGAAAAAATATTTTTATAATTATGATATGAGAATATAATAATTAATTTATGAAAAAAGTATTTTTGTAATTATGGTATAAATATATTAAGTAAATAATTATAAAATAAGAGATATTTTTATAATTATAATATAATAATAAAATAATTAATTTGAATACATGTTATTTTCCTATCAAATAATAAAAAAGGTAATTTGATAATTTCGTTACGGATTCCTTTCTATATATGTATAGATTTGCCCATGATTGATAATTGGTGGACTAGTGAAAGCCTCCAAAATGGTCTCATACTCCAACCATCCTTCGTGGAAATGCTTCCAAATTTTGAATTTGCATTATCAACAAACGAGTGATGTATTGAATTGAAACAAGCGAAAAGGCCTCATTATGTGTGAATTACAACATTAATACGATCCACTTATACTAAGGTTTTGGGCAAAACAAATTGAAGAGGTGGATTATGGGCCTTGTGTTGGTTGGGCTGAGCTTTAGGCAGTTGGACCAAGGACTGGACGGGCCTTTATGATGGTAGAAGGGTCCGCAAAAGGCGAAAACAGAAATCTTTTTCATTTAGCGTGCATTTGGATTGCCGGTTATTATTGATGGCCTTTTTCCTCAAATTCCACCGTGAAAGCCATTTGAATGGCATCTCTACTTTCAGTGAGTTTCACTCCATCATTTCTTCAATTAAAAACTGAAAGTTTCAATGTGCAGTGACAAACAGAAGGTTTGGACAATAATGCCACTTTTTTTTAATTTCTCAAAACATTCCGACATGTTTTTTTTTTTAATTTAAATTTGTTTATATTTAAAACATTTAAAATTCTAATTATTATTAATATAAAATAATATACATCAAAATTTTGATTAAATAGAACTTATAAAATTTTATTTGATATAAAACTAATGGTAAAAAATTTCAATTAATTATTAACTCATTAATGTAAAAAATATATTAAACTTTTGTTATATATAAATTTTAATTTAATATTTTAAATATCCATTTTTATTATATTTTATCTTATTTTAGTGCCAATACATATTTTACTTTTAATTTAATTTAATTTTTATATTAATTAATTTTACCGTTATTATTATTTTCAATCTTACCAAAAAATCAATCTTATTGTCCAGTGAAATAGGGCCTATTGGGATTGGATGCTTTGGGTTGCGCTAAAACTTTCAACAAAGGAAGACCTAAGTAAAGAGTGGCTGCTATGGTTTAAGATTTGAACTGTTGAAGTATATTTACTTATTATAGAATTGAAATTTTAGTAATACTTGCAAAATCAAAATCGAAAACAAAAAATTAAAAATGGCTGCGGGCGGAAGCGGATTGAAGTACTCATCGGACAGCACGGTAATTAAATCTCCAAACGACCGGCGACTCTACAGAGTAATCGAGCTCCATAATGGTCTCGTTGCTTTACTGGTTCACGATCCCCAGATTTACCCCGACGGACTTCCTCAAAATTCTCATTTGCTAGATAAGATTGAGCCTGAAGCTGAAGATGACGAAGTTGATGACGGAGATGACGACAAAGAAGACGAAGACGAAGATGAAGAGGAAGAGGAAGAAGAAGAAGATGACACCGACGATGAGAAACAGATTGAAGAAGAAAAGGCCGCTCAGACTAAAAAGGTTTGCCTTTTCTCCTTTTCATATTGATTGAGGTCCGGACCAGACATGAGATTGATAGTGAATTTGGTTGCAGGCAGCGGCAGCAATGTGTGTAGGATTTGGCAGCTTCTCTGACCCTCCCGAGGCGCAGGGTCTTGCTCATTTTCTAGGTTTCATTACTTTTTCTTTTTCTTCTCACTTACATTTACTTGTTTGTTTCTGCCTAATATTCATGAAGTTTCTTTGTTTCTTCGTAGAACATATGCTGTTCATGGGAAGTGCTGAATTTCCAGATGAAAACGAGGTCTGTTCATCCATTTTCTCTCCTATTCCCATTCTAGATGCCTAACTTGTCATTCTTTTACTAACCCATCGGAATTTACAAATGATGTTCACAAGTACATACTGCCCTTACCAAAAAACGGGGATCTCATGTAAATTTTGCCTTGTTTTTTTAACATGAAAATAGCTACATTTACTCCATTTTTTTGGGGGGGCCAAAAAGGATCTTTTTGCTTGCTTCATCTATGCTTAATCTAGGCAGTATGTTGATTTGTGTTTGGTGATTGTATCATTGTTTGGCCTACCACCTTTGACTCTTTTCTTTGCTAGTATGATAGTTACTTATCCAAACATGGAGGCTCATCAAATGCATATACAGAAGCTGAGCATACCTGCTACCATTTTGAAGTTGAAAGAGAATTTCTCAAGGGTGCTTTGAGAAGGTAAATGCTGAAACTCTAAAGTGCAAAACTTTAGTTATTGAAGTAATTTTTTTCCTTTTCCTTTCCATTGCTTGATTCAAGTTTTGCAGTGGAGATTGTTAATGGAGCAATAATTTGGTCTTTATTTTGTGTACTGATTTCCAAAATTATGAGAATTCTGAGAGACTTGTGTTTGTCTTTTGTCATTGTCAGATTTTCTCAATTTTTTATTTCACCCCTTGTTAAACTTGAAGCCATGGAACGAGAGGTGCTTGCTGTGGATTCAGGTGTGCACCACTAATCTGAGTCTACTATCTGTCTTCTTACATCACCCTCTCTCCCCTCTTTTTTTTTTTCTCCAAATATATAGAAACTCTTTTTTTCTTGCTCTAAGTTAATACTTGTTATTACATGTGCTGATGGTATATTTATGATTTCTGAATGGAACTGTAATTTGGACCAAAATTGGATTGCAGAATTTAACCAGGTTTTGCAAAATGACAGTTGTCGTCTTCAGCAGCTTCAGTGCCATACATCTGAGCATGGTCACCCTTTTAACAGATTCTCTTGGGGTGAGATTCTTGCCATTGGTGTTCTCTCTTTGAATGATTTGTTTATGTCTATTGGTATGAAAATGGGTATTTTCTTTTTCTTAAATGGAAGGAAACAAGAAGAGCTTGGTTGATGCTGTTGAGAAAGGAATTGATCTACGCAAACAAATACTAAAACTGTACAATGATTATTACCACGGTGGACTGATGAAGTTAGTGGTAATTGGTGGTGGTAAGTTTCCATTTTGTGATTCTCTAGATTTGTGGCCACTGGTTAGTATGTGTGTGTGTCTCTCTCTTTTTCTAGTCTCTGCTGGAAACAATTCCATTGAACTGCTCTTATTTTCTCTAATATTCTTTTATGAAATTCCTGCCTCCTTTTCTCTCTCTCTCTCCCCCCACCCCAATTTCCCTCCAAAATTTTATTTTATTTTTATTATTTATTTTACGTTAATTAGATAGCCAATTTTTTCAACTAATGTTTTAAGTTTATTACCAATCCAAAAGAAGCTTAAACATATCTAGGCATTAATTCTAGTTTTTGAAGGATTTCAGTAATGATTATTTATGTGGCAGTTTGAAGAAAATTATGATGGTATTTATATTTAAAATCTTTGTTTTCAATTTTTTTAATATCATAATGATGATAATACTTGTTAATTATGTAGAGCCTTTGGATGTACTTCAGCAATGGGTTGTTGAATTGTTTTCGGACGTCAGACAAGGTTCTCAAGGAAAACCAGAGTTTAAGGTGGAAGGTCCTGTCTGGAGGGCTGGTAAACTTTACAGGTTAGAGGCAGTTAAGGATGTACATATCCTTGAATTAAGGTGGACACTGCCTTGTCTTTTGCAAGGGTATCTGAAGAAACCGGAAGATTATTTGGCTCATCTTCTTGGGCATGGTATATAATTCTGCATTATCATAATGCTTAGGAGGTTGCTCAAGGAAATAATAATAATAAAGAAAAGGATGTGTATGTGTGCATGTGCTCTTGTGCTTGCATACATGAAGAAAATGTGAATGTTTCCAGTGTTTGATGCCTAATAAGTGATTCTTGATACCTGATGTTGGTCTTTTTACTGTGAATAGTGTTTTTCATTTGCTTCAACTTACATGCTCATCCCCCTTAAGTTTGTTTAATATGCTTAATTTTTTCCCGCCAAGGATCAGATTTTAATCTCCTGAAACAAATACCTCTGATGTTTAGAGCCATAGAAGAGAGTTAACAATTTTTTGATCTTATTTTCACGTTTATTCCTTGAAGTTATTTTTGTTGTTTCTGCTTTTCTCTTTCTATTGTTGACTAATTGGTTGACACATTTTTATGCTACTGAAACTATGATAAATTTACATGGCTGGTCATGTGTTCTAAAGCACACATGAAATATTTTTTTTCCTTTTACCCCTTTTCCAGAGGGCAAAGGAAGCTTGCATTACTTCCTCAAAGCTAAAGGATGGGCAACCTCTCTATCTGCTGGTGTTTCGGACGATGGAATGCAGCGATCTTCCATAGCTTATATCTTTAGCATGTCCATCCATCTTACAGACTCTGGTTTGGAAAAGGTAGTGTATCTTGTTTCATCTTCTATGCATATAACAGGCAGTAGAAAAAGTTACCTTTCTTCCATAATGTTTTTCATTTTATCAGGTATTCCATATGCTTCCAAAAAGTTCTTTTTCTTCCATAATGTTTTTCATTTTATCGGGTATTCCATATGCTTCCATATGGAATGTGCTTGAAAAAAAAAAAATCTCAAATTCGAAGGAGGATATTACTTGACTTTATCTTCTCATTCTGTTGCTGTTAAGCTAGCTCAAGCTTATAATAAATTATAACAGTGTTGACCATTCCCAAGTCAGTTCCTACTACTCTGATTGTTGCTGTGTTTGTGTTTCTATATTGAATGGGCTTTTATTATTTAAAGTTTGCTTCATGGATTTTATGGTTTTTTTAGCCAGAATTATTAATGGCCGCTTCCTTTTTTCATCTCAGATATTTGACATCATTGGTTATGTATATCAATACCTTAAGCTATTGCGTCAACTTTCTCCTCAAGAATGGATTTTTAAGGAACTGCAGGATATGGGAAACTTGGACTTCCGTTTTGCAGAGGAAGAACCACAGGATGATTATGCTGCAGAACTTGCAGGTTCTTTTCCTTTTCTTTTTCAAAATTTTAGCTTGCATCTGTTGAACAATTATGAAGTAACTAGTTTGCTTCTATTACTGTAATTTCCATATCTTGATGGCCTACCTGTACTATATGTTCCATTGACCTGTTGAAGTTTCTTAATTTGGTTGCTAAGCCTAGTTGAAAGTGGACAATAGTTGATATGCTGTTTATATGCCTTGAAATTTGTTGAGTATTTAATATGCCTGGTGTATGTTAAACAAATCCACACTTACATGGTTGCTGACCATCAGTGTCTATATGCAGCTGATTGGGTTGTTAGATTGTTTTACCACTAGAAAATTTTGAGAGCTTTGGAATGATAGGGAGCTTCTGGTAAATCCCATTAATTGGTAAAGCAACAAACTTTAGCGAATGGGAAACATTATTTTGTTTGATTATTGTCTGAAATTATGGGAGAACTCTTCACATCATTTTGGTAAAATATGAATAAGAAAGCTATTTATTTATTTATTAATAACAGATGGTATTTTGACGCTGTTCCTAGATTATCTTTACAATTATTCTTCTTTTTCACTATTAAACTATTCCCAGTGTTTCTTTGTTGCAGAAAATTTACTTGTTTATCCACCAGAACATGTTATTTATGGAGACTATGTCTTTGAGTTCTGGGATGAGGAAATGATAAGAAAGATTCTAGGTTTCTTCATTCCTGAAAACATGAGAATTGATGTAGTATCGAAGTCCTTCAAGTCACAAGGTACCTCTTCAACTACAATTTTCAATCATTGCCATGTTCTGTTCTATTTGACCATCATTTTTTTTCCTTCTATGTCAAATATAAGATTATGTATGTTTCTATGTTATAAGAGTCTCAGATAAATGACTTAGTTTGATGCTATAAAGCTTTCTTTAATTTGCAACTAGAAGTTGCAGATGATTTTAGTTCAATTGTCCCTTTTTCATTGTAAATTTCCACCATTTGTGTGTTTCTTTTGTTATGTTCATTCTGCTTAACTAAAATGTGCATAATTTATTCTAATTATTCTAATCATATGATATTGACTTAGAATTATAGGAAATCATCTGAGCTGCTTATACTCTCCCTTGTTACAGATGTACAATATGAGCCTTGGTATGGATCACATTATGCTGAGGAAGAAATTTCTTCATCTTTGATAGCATTATGGAAAGATCCCCCAGAAATTGATGTTTCATTGCATCTGCCTTTGAAGAATGAGTTCATTCCATGTGATTTCTCCATTCAAGCTGATAATACAAAAATTGATCCTGCAAATGAATCATTTCCTATATGCATTTTTGAAGAACCATTGATGAAGTTCTGGTACAAGCTTGATAGTACTTTCAAACTTCCTCGTGCAAATACATATTTTCGGATTAATCTGAAAGGGGCATACCTTAATTTGAAGAGTTGTTTGTTGACTGAACTCTATATTCACCTTCTCAAGGATGAGCTAAATGAGACTATATATCAGGTTAATTTTTTATCATTTGTCATTTTGAACTTTTCTGTTAGTAATTGATCTTCTTTTTTGCGAAATTTGTTTCGTGGAATCTTAAAAGGTTTACGTGTTCTTAAACTACTTAATCATGAATTTTTTGTTTGGTAAAGATTTTACTGGCCTTATGGCATGGGCTATTGGATCTGTGGACTCATACTCATAGTTTCTTGTTTTACCATTTGATTTCTTAAACAGTAAATTTGATTATGTTTTATGATTTGAAAGAATATGTGATAACAAAAAATAACATACTTTTACATCTCAGAATTTGGGGATATACTATTAACCATTATTAGTAATCAATAGTAAAGTTGAGCCTCTTCGCATTTCTGTTTCTTTAAAGCACCAATTCTACAAGTAATGTGCACTGATAAAGCTCTTACTGACCTTTTAAAGTTATGTCTGTTGAGTTGTTGACAAGTAATATCTCCTTAACAATCCCCCCCCCCCCCTAAGTCATTATTTTCTATTTTCTGAAACTTAGTCATTATTTTCAATTTGTTTTTAACCAAATGTTAGTTTATTTTGTTCTTGCATTTGTTATTAAAATGTGAACCTGACTGGAATTTTCTTTGCAGGCCAGTGTTGCCAAGCTGGAAACTTCAGTGGCAATGTACAGTGACAAGTTAGAGCTGAAGCTTTATGGTTTCAATGATAAACTTCTTGTTCTCTTGTGCAAAGTTTTGGCAATTGCGAACTCTTTCTTACCTACCAATGATCGTTTTAAGGTACACACAATTTTGCAATTTCCTTCCCCATTCTTTGCCTCTCCTCAAATTATGAGGTGCTTGATGTACATGTAATATGGATGTTGATCTCTGGGAAAAGAGCGAGTGCAACTGAGGGAAGCTGTCAAGCTGCCATTTGGTTAAGAGTGGCACTTTAAAGATTGACTGTAAATTAAATTGTTTGTTTACAGTCCGGATGATAAAGTTGCTATGAATTAATTCTACAATTTGCTTACCACCTTTCAATCAACACACAAACACGAGATTGAATTGGGCTTATAGTTTTCTTCAGGTATTTTGGTGTGTCTGATAATGTGACACTGCATCTGACAGTTTATTAAGGAGAACATGGAGAGAACTTTAAGAAACTCCAACATGAAGCCTCTCAGTCACTCATCCTACTTGAGACTGCAGATTTTATGCAAGAGTTTCTATGATGTTGAGGAAAAGCTTTCTTTTCTAACTGACCTTTCTCTATCTGATTTGAGGGCCTTTATTCCTGAGCTCCGTTCCCAGGTAATTCAAACACATGGCATGTGGGTTTTGACAAATTTTTCATATGACTGTTTTCTTCCATCAGTTTACATTCTGCATTACCATACATATGCAAAGTGCTTTTGATATAATCCTGTGAACCTTCCTGTAGTTTTTTTTTTTTTTTTGCCTCAAAACCTTCTTGTAGTTGATCATAACATTTCAAGATTGGATAAAGTATTGTCAACTTCCTTATTTGGAATGCATTATTTGGCATAAAGTTATATTGCCCCTGAAACTGGGAAGTGGTTGTCCAAAGAAGAGTTCCTCTTTTATTTGAGGCTTGAAATGCATATGTACTATTCTTTTATGATAGGTATATGAATGGACTGAAACAAAACATTTCAAAGAAAAACATAAATATATAATTAATCTTCCCTCCTGTGATGCATTATTATGGAATTACAGTGACAGTTTCCAAAATTTGATTATTTTGGTACTATTTCTTGGTATCTCATGCTACAGTTGCTAGGAACATGAATCACATGAATCACCTAGTTTAATTGTTGGGTTCTTTGTCTGGTTGTCTCGCTCTCCCTAATTCTTAATGGACATTTATCCCAGTTTGTTTAATTTCTAACTGCATATGTTGGACAGATATATATTGAGGGCCTTTGCCATAGTAATTTGTTAGAAAAAGAAGAATTTAATTGTTGGGTCTTTGTCTGGTTGTCTCACTTCTCCCTAATTCTTAATGGACATTTATCGTAGTTTATTTAATTTCTAACATCATATGTTGGACAGATATATATTGAGGGCCTTTGCCATGGTAATTTGTTAGAAAAAGAAGTACTTGAAATATCAAATATCTTTAAAAGCAACTTTTCTGGACAACCGATGCCAGTCACAATGAGGCATAGAGAGCAAGTGATATGTTTTCCCCGTGGTGCCAACTTTGTGAGAGATGTCACTGTAAAGAACAATTCTGAAACAAACTCAGTGCTTGAGGTAGCTGATGATGGTTGGATTCTCTACAAAATATCAGTTAAACCTTCTCTTTGCCTATTAATGTTTTAATGCTATTATTGATGACATCATTTGGTCTTGCATTGAAGCTTTATTTCCAAATTGAGCCAGAAGTAGGGGTGGAAGCAGTAAAACTGAAGGCCTTGATAGATCTTTTCGATGAAATTGTGGAAGAACCACTTTTTAATCAGCTAAGGTAATTTTTTCTGAAGTCTGAAATTGTGTTAATCAATCTTTGATGTTGCAAGCCTGTCTTAGAGATTGTTGGAGCACAAAAGCACCCCAAGACAGGCAAATTAAGTGAATTTTTTCCTTTTTCTTTTGGGTTTGGTAAAAATGGTTGATTGAAATAATCATTCACTTTATCTTTTTCCTGGCCATAAGAAAGGTTCTATTGATTCTGTTAAGGCTGAACTTATGTCTTGTATGAGATCTATACTTGTCCAGATTGCACTAGTTATGTACTAATATCCGTCTGTATGCATGTTTTTGCAAGCATTGGTGGATCACATGTTTATAGGAGTGTATGTGTGCATAAATTAAATGTGATAGCATGCCATGTTCATATTTTTTTTCCATTTATTTTGCGGGGCAATGCCATAAATTGAATAATTAGAATGAGTTCTCTAATTCTTTATTCAATTTGGAATGTAGGACAAAGGAGCAACTTGGTTATGTTGTTGAATGTAGCCCAAGGGTGACATATCGTGTTTATGGATTTTGTTTCTGCATTCAATCTTCCAAGTATAGCCCGGATTACTTGCAGGAGAGAACAGACAACTTCATAAACAACTTGGAAGAGCTGTTGGTGAGTTTTTAATCAGTTATGTATTATGCTGGTCTTTTCAACTACTTTTCTATTAGAGCCTATCAAGAATCCACGGCTCTTTTCCTTGCATGCTTAACTGTATTATTTAATAAAAATGTTGTTTGTGCGTGTATGTTTTTAATTTGCTAATGCATTGCAGGGAGGGCTTGATGATGAATCATTTGAGAGCTATAGGAGTGGACTAACGGCGAAGCTGCTGGAGAAAGATCCATCCCTCTCATATGAAACCAATCGACTTTGGAATCAGATTGTTGATAATAGGTACTATTTTTATATGATTTTGGTTTGTTTAAACCTAATTTTCCAACTGCTACTGATAGTGGGAATGTTAAAATTTTACATCGAAGCAATAAGTAGAAGTTGAAGGGGCAGAAATATTCTGTTTATGGTTTTATAACTACTATAAAACAACCTTGTGCAGCCTCTCCGTGCTATCTATCGTTAACCTTTTTTTTTTTAAGATGTATTGTCAACTTTCTTATTCTTTATTATTATTTTTTTATGGATTTGTTGTTAACTTTCAGGTATATGTTTGACTTGTCAAAGAAGGAAGCAGAGGAACTCAGAAGCATCCACAAGATGGACATTGTGAACTGGTATAAAACATATTTGCAGCAACCTTCTCCCAAATGTCGAAGACTTGCCATTCGTGTCTGGGGATGCAACACAGACCTAAACGAGGCTGAAAGTAAAACAGATCTTTCGCAGCTCATTAAAGACCTTGCGGCCTTTAAGAGATCATCTAAGTACTACCCCAGCTTTTGTTAAATTAGCACTAATTGACGTTTAGCATAAAGGACAACTTAGAGTAATAAAACAGTATACTTGTTTGAAGACCCTGATTTTGTCTGGCTGGTTGGAGGTGGGAACAACATTCATTTAATCTGCATAGAGGAGGAAATGCAGAGTCCATGACGGACCAAAATAGTGGAATGATAGATTTATTCTTATAACGTGTTTTGAATATTAATTGGATTCAACATGGTCATTTAATATTTTTTTCCTTATATTCCAAAGCATTCTTTTTGGGGACTATGAACAATAGATATTCTCATTAGTTATCTTTAGTTCTTCCTATTGTAATTATTATCTTGCAAGGATATCTGTTACTTCCGCTGATTTTCCCTTTTTTCTTTTTTAAGATTTCAAGCCCTGATCTGGAAGATCAATGGAAGCGTGTGAAAGATTGATTTCATGATTTTTGCCTGAGTTATGAAATAAGAGACTTGATCCATGCAGATTCTAAGCTCTGTTGCAGGTTCCACTATGATATGCACGATATGATGAAGGTTGACATGATAATTTCATTTCGTTGTTCCATCTTTTGTTTGATTTTGGTTCAATTACATGCCAAAGATGAGGAATGAAAGAACTGATGCATTAATTTCCAGCTGAGGTAAGCTCACGAACTTGAAGATGCATGTATACGTAAATTTGTCTGCGGGAATGGAAAATGCAGGGGTCATCCCATAAAAATTCAAAAAGCAAAACCATCGATTTGAACGGATCATGTGGATACATGTGTGTGGGAAGGGCGCTAATGACTGACCCCGTCTTTAACATTTTTTTCCCTTGAATTGCACATGGTGGGGTTTTGGGACTTAGAGGTTGGAGCTGCTGTTTTTCTGTATGTCAGTGAGAGCTAAAATGGGTCCCTTTTCTGGCTGCTGTTTGTCTGGCTCCTCCCTACTACAACACATGGTACTCCCATAAAATCTGATAGCACAGCATGCATGGGGACGAAGGGCAGTTTCATTAAGCCCCGCCGGCCCTAACCAAATAAGATAATGTTAAATTAAAGGATCTCTTTTGCTTCCTTATCTTTGTGGATATAATTTGAAACACTTGTCCTAAAGAATGATTTGTGGGGACTTGGTGATCGCAGCTCCTGCTTGTAGGTTGTAAGCTTACATTTTTTCAAGCATACTATAGTACAAAATTAAAGAAATATTAATAAAAGTGTTAATTATTTAATGCCAATATGCTTATATTAACAAAGAATAAATCTGTGATAAATCTTTAATGCCTCCAAAATTGACGAAATTGATGCATTGATTGAAGATTGAAGGGCCCGATTCAGCATGTGCTCCTGACATGGTAGGACCCAAATCAATTACAAGTAAACGTCTATGAGCAGATTCAAATAATTAATGTATTACATTATGTAATGAACTAACTCTCTTCTTCTGCCCAAACCAAATCTAGCTCTCTTGTGATACTTCTTTCTTAAATGATAAAAACCAAAAGGAAAACAAACAAAAAAAATGCGTGAAAATGGAGGACTTGCATTTATGAAAGCCACGTCGGCATTCAGCAACTGATCGCCACACCTGATTTTTTGGGCACCAACTATACACCTTACTTGGCCGGTTCAAAATTCCACGTCAGAGCTTAACTATTTAATACATGTCTGCTGCTATCCCATGGAGCATGTGAATGAGAGGTGACTCAACTTCTAACATGTCAGCTTGCATGTCTGCAGCAAACTCCAACTCACCTTTCAAAATCTGTATTTTCGGTGGAAATCAATCACCATGCATTTGCATTTACAGTAACTAAAATGAGTAAGATGAGAAGCGTATGGCCGGCCGAGTGAGTGACTATTACTTGCTTAATGAAGATCATTTTCTTCATTCCATGCGCAGAGATCTTTATACTATTATTGTCTGTCAAAGTTGAAATTTGGAAAGGACAAAGTTCAGTTTATGGCCTCCAACTCGCACATAATGCCCTACTTATCCACAACATTCAGACTCAGAACACTGGTCAGATTAATTAAACAGGGACACCAAATATTGGCAACCGAGAAAAGTAGTGCAATAATTTTGTAAAGTTGCTAAGATACAGTTGAAGATTGATGCATGTGCACTGTGGCCCACGGTGGGTAGCGGTTGTTGAGCTCAACCAGAACCGGTGCATGTGCATGTACTCTCTCGATTTCCTCAAATCCATTCGTGGCTTTGGCCGGCTCTTGCTAACCCCACCCAGCTACTAGCTACTGCTGCCCTGGCGTGTGCTCTGCTCTTTCTGCCTATAAATGCAAACCCTCTTCAAAGCCCTTGTACACAGAACACAAAGCAATCGAGTATCATCGTATACATACTCCCACGAGTCCAGCCTCCTCCTTTTCTGTAGCATTATTAGTTAAAAATGATTGCTCAGACATTTTCCTCAGCTATGCTTCTCTCTATTCTCTTCTTTAGCTTAAACTTGAATGGAATTGCTGGAGACTATGGCGGCTGGCAAAATGCGCATGCCACTTTCTATGGCGGTGGTGATGCCTCTGGCACAATGGGTGAGTGCCACACTGCTACTCAACTTCTAACCCGATTCACCCTCTTTCTGTTTTTTGAGTTTTGAATATTTAATCTTTTGGTAATAATTTGGAGAGGTTTTGTTTTGAATATTTCCAGGAGGAGCATGTGGCTACGGGAACTTGTACAGTCAAGGTTATGGAACAAAGACTGCAGCATTAAGCACAGCCTTGTTCAACAATGGCCTCAATTGTGGAGCATGCTATGAGATGCGATGCAATGATGATCCCAAATGGTGCCTTGCTGGGACCATCACTGTGACTGCTACAAACTTCTGCCCCCCTAACTTTGCTTTATCTAATGACAATGGTGGGTGGTGCAATCCCCCTCTCCAACATTTTGATTTGGCAGAGCCCGCCTTCTTGCAAATTGCCCAATACCGAGCTGGAATTGTGCCTATTGTCTTTAGAAGGTAAAGAGATCATTAAAACATAGTCCATGCAGTAACGGGTTGCTTTTCTTTATAGTTTTGCGCATAATAATTGGTACACCAATGGTTAAAATTGAACAATCATGACTGTCTTAATTAGTTTAGATTTAGAAATTCCTTTTCTTTTTCTTGGATAAGTATATATAGTAGTAATAAATTAGATACTGATTGATGTACTTTATGTCGGTTTGGCAGGGTGCCATGTGTGAAGAAAGGAGGAATAAGATTCACCATTAATGGACACTCATACTTCAACCTGGTCTTGATCACAAACGTCGGCGGTGCAGGAGATGTCCATGCAGTGTCCATCAAAGGTTCCAAAACAGGGTGGCAACGCATGTCTAGAAACTGGGGCCAAAACTGGCAGAGCAACTCCTACCTCAATGGCCAGAGCCTGTCTTTCCAAGTAACCACCAGTGACGGTAGAACTGGGACAAGCTACAACGTGGTGCCTGCTAACTGGCAGTTTGGTCAGACTTTTGAAGGAGGTCAATTTTAGAAAATTTCTCCAAGAGTAGTGGAGATATGTAAATTTACATCTGTTTCTTACAAGTCTTAAGAGGCAGAGAATTGTGTAGTTTATTGTAACAGTAGTGTTGTGATGGTCCGGAAAATGCTGAGGTGACTAAAAATGCGCCCGCTAGAGTCTCTACCCCTTTCATAAACATTAGCCATGAATTTCACTTTCGCCATGGATTGCAATATTTACAAATATTCATGTATTCTAAAAATTAATCCGACTGGTTAGTTGATTTCAGTAGTTGACAATTTTGTCAGCCATGAATCTTTACAGCAATACCATGTTTGTTTGAGAGATGTACTGTGGAATTATCCAACTCCTGATGAACACTAATCACTACTACGTACTACAACAACTACAACTACAAAAACTAGGGGCTGTAGTGTGGTGGATTAAGATGACAAAACTAGGCCGTTTAGGAATTTGGGCTACGAGACTAAGTTGGGCCACGGGATCCAGCTGGTAGACCCCAATTATATATATATTATATATAGTTTTCTTTTTGGGCCAACGTACATGGTTTGGTTCGGTCCTATAAAATCACCGACCAATAATAACTTTATACTACATAAGTGACAGAATTCAAATTCTCTCGACCTTTTTGTTTTTTGCTTATGAATCCTAGCTTGCTAAGTGGTTGGTTGTGTTTTAAAATGTTCGCGCATGAGTTTAGGAGTCTATTCACTTTCTTTTGGCTACTCTTTAACTTTGTTGGATGGTCCAATTGTTTTGCTTTTAACTTAAGATAATAATTAATGAGATGGGATAGAAATTTAGTTTTTTTGGTTATTTAAAGATGAATTTGGTAAATGGAGTCTACGCCTATATAGTAGTAAATAAATCCAAATGAATTCCACTTTGAAGAAGAATTGTGTCTCCTTGTCATGTGATGCACATGCTTGCTTATTATAATAATTAGTATATATGAATAATATATAAGAACAAAGTTTGAAAGCATGAGATGAGATTGAAAAGCTAGTCCCAAACATTGAAAACTAGTTGGATGGTGTAACGTCCAAAGATAAAAAGATATATAGTTAGGTGTTAGTGAAGAAAATGAGTTGTCTTTAATTACCAAATATGTAGGAAAAAGTGCATCTTAAAGATGACACCAGGCATTTTGATTAATAGCTGTCAAAAACTATATATTTTAAAGTGTTTCCATTCATTCATTACTCCATCCATTGAATTCGATTTGCACAGCAAACTGTATATTGTTTGAAAACAACAAATATAGTATAATATAGTAGAGTATAGGAGTATATATATTTTTAAGCATAATAATAATAATTGCCAATGAAGATTGTAGAAGTGATAAAAAAACGAATGTTGAGAGTGTATTAACATTCAAATTTGAATCTGTTCATGATTTTTTATTGATAAAACGATATATAAATTTAAAAATTTTATAGGTGAAAGTTGAATAAATTTATAAATTTCAATTAAATTGACAGTTTACCTAACTTTAAAAGTGAAATAATTTTTTTTCTCTTAAATTTTAATTCACAAAAGAAAATCCAACAATAGAAAAAAATTAAATCCAACAATAGATTTAGTAATTACTATATGAAATGTTTTGTACACTATACAACATGCCTTATTTGTTGTTGTAATGAAAAAAATGTGTTTGGAATTGAAAAACAGCGGGGAAAGAAGGACAAGTCAATTTTGGAACAATAATTATTGAATAACATTTATACGGGCCAGTCCTGATTTATCATTTTGACAGATCACAAGAAAAGAAAAGCAGTGACTTGTCGTAAAAGTAAAATCAAACAGTAAAAATCCAGTCCACTGCTTTCTCTTTTATCTATAATCTACGTACCCCTCCAACGTGAAAACACTCAAAAGTCAAAAGGTAACAGCAAAACACTCAAAAGTCAAAGGGTAACACATCAGCAAATTAAATTAACATCACTTAGGGGTTACGTTTTCATTTAGTAAAATTAATTTAAAATTGGTTATTTAAAGTGAAGTAATTGCGACCCCAAATTTATCCGCCGATTAACGGGGCCCACTCAATTCTCCTCTCCTTTCTCTTCCCTCTTCCTCCCTCCTCCTCTTTTGTCATTTTCTATTTCTCCTATTTTCTTTTTCAGAAAGAAAAAAAAAAAACACTCATTCCCCGTAACACCGACGGATTTATATGCAACCGTCTGTGTTTCGCAGATTTCCTTATTTATCGGACTATCCGACTTTGAGGTTTCTCTGTCTCTCTCTCTCTCTCTCATCTTTTCTTTAAAGCATCAGATCTAGGGTTCTTCGATGCTCTGTTTCTATGTTCATTTTAATTTTATCTCATTTCCTTGTTTGGCGCCTCCTCGTTCTCATTCTTGCAGTTGAAGCCGCTTCTTCGACAATTCATTTTGAACACTTTTCGGCAATTTTAACCACCAATATAGGGCGAGGATTCAGTTTTTATACCTATACTCTACGTATATGTGATCGGGAAGCCTAGGGGATTACGTAGATTTGGATCACGATTGACAAACAAAATTCAAAAGGAAAAATGAGTGAGAACAACAAGTTCCAGCTGGGGACAATAGGTGCTCTCAGTTTATCGGTCGTCTCCTCCGTCTCCATTGTTATATGCAACAAGGCTCTTATCAGCAGTCTCGGTTTCACCTTTGGTCAGTTTGAATACACCTCACTTAATTCTCCCATCGCTTTCCATTCGTGTTTGCTGGATTCTTTTTTTTTATGTGGGTTCCCTGTTTTTTACCATATCTTATTACTTTTGATCCGTCACCAGAATTGGGCACTTCCATATTCCGGCATTTTTTCCTCTGTAATTTTGGATTTAGGGTACCTTTAAATATAACTTTTGTCTTCAGTTTCTTTCATTGTTGATTTGTTTATATCATCAAGTATGCGATCCGGTCACTATAATTATAGATGGCTTTCGTTTTCAACCACAATGAATTGTCATGACACGAAAACATGTGGTAGTCCCAAATTACAAGTTGAATAGACTGTCAATTGCTGTCCTGTGTGCTACTGCGGACATTATGAATTGATCTGGTTCTATACATCCACACATTAGAATGTATGCTCTGGGAATATCAATCCCTTGAAAAGAAATTAGGAGATTGTAAGTGATTAGAATCAGAACCTGTATGAGTATGAAAATGATTAAAGAGGGATAACTATCAATTATTATTTGTAAGCATCATCTAAGTGCGAAAATTGATCTGGTTGGTATTCATACGAGTTCCTGACTAAGTGATCAAATGAAGTCACAATTCATTAAGAGAGACAAGGTTGTTTCCGACCCATGCCTCATTTGTTGCAAGTGATTTATGGCAGATATATACTATAATGTGTGAAGTCGGCTGATTTTTTATTTCACATACGTTAACATTGTGTGCTGAAAAGAATAGTTTAGTTTATAACCAAGAGTTTATAAGGTTTTATCTGGCTGGCTTAACCTTGTTAATTGTTATAATCTCATTGTATATTTATTTTTCTTTTAGATTTTAGCTTGTCGTCAGTAATAGACTCTTCAGAGTGTCTGTTCTTTCTATATTGCTTCCAATTATTGTAAATCATTTTTAGCTACAATAAGGTGAATTATGTTCTCAATTCCTTCATTGTCTTAAGAAGAAAAACTTTTCTGGACTTTTGTCTTTGCATTAGTTCTTGATGCTAATTATCATGATGTGGTGTGTTATTTTTGACAAAAGATAATGGAAAGTTCTTTAGATCTCATAAATCCTACCACACACTCATTAATTAAAGACCATGGAAGATGTAAGCTAATAGTTTATTGTGATTGCATGTTGTTAATTGAAAAAGCATCATCTGAATTTCTGATCTTTGCCTGCCTGCAAGTACTTGATTGTTTATGCTAATTTTTGGTCTGGGTTCTACAGCCACAACTTTGACAAGCTGGCATCTCCTGGTCACATTTTGTTCTCTTCATGTGGCCTTATGGATGAAATTGTTTGAGCACAAGCCCTTTGATGCCAGAGCTGTCATGGGATTTGGTATATTAAATGGGATATCCATTGGGCTTTTGAATCTTAGTTTGGGTTTCAATTCTGTTGGTTTCTACCAGGTAACGTTGTATTTTCAGTTCGTTATTCTCTTGATTCTTATGTAAGTCATGTCCAAGTTTGGCTTGATTCCAACATAATTTGCACAGAATGATACTTTGTGCTGACAGCTTCTAGGGATATGGAATCTGTTAGTGCTATGTATATCCAGTTCAAAGTTTATCCCTTCTTCGTATTTTTACAAGCATATTAGGAGAATCGGTTTCTGACAATTTGTGTCCTTTTTTTTATTTTAGATGACAAAACTGGCAATTATCCCCTGTACCGTTCTTTTGGAGACCCTTTTCTTCAGGAAGAAATTCAGGTCAGTTATGAGCATGCTTGTTTCTTTGCATGACTGACGTTCTTTCATGATCTTGTAATTTGGCCTCTTACAACCGTGGTTTTTGGAGATAAAAGTTAGGAATAGGTTTTTTAGAGGGCTAGGCATTGCATTCATCAGCTTAGGGGCCATTTTCTGTTGCTAACATGTTGACGAGCAAGGATTGAAAGCCTTGATTGTGACTGTTTCATGCTAAACGCTAAAAAGTAGGAAAAAATTGCAATTCCTCCTCTTACTATCAGAGGATGATAAGGAACTTGTGTGCTTATAAACACTTGAAATTTCTAGTTTGGGTTACATTATTCATCTGCGACAATCCAAAATTTCTTGTATTTCTAAACTCCTCTTAATTGAAGAAATCTTTACTTGTTTTATACTGTAATTTGCTAGTGGTTTCAGGTTTTGCTTGCAGTCCTGCTATTGTTTTGGATTAGTATTTTATTGTTTATGGCTGTACTTTGATACATTTATATGCTATTGCAGTAGGAATATTCAACTTTCATTGGCCATTCTTCTTTTGGGTGTTGGAATTGCAACTGTAACTGATCTTCAGCTCAATCTCCTGGGTTCTATCCTTTCTTTGCTGGCAGTTGTTACTACGTGCGTAGCTCAAATTGTATCCTTAGCTGGAGTGATATTTGCTATTTCTTTTCATGTTTTGTTTCTGTCATTTATGTCCATGTTTAGGAACAATAAATGAATTGTTAAATTTGTGCTGCATGAATAGGTTTTTCTTTCTCCAAGTGCAAAATTCTCCTAGTTGTTTAAGTTCTTAACTCAGTCCTCTTAGATGACTAATACCATTCAGAAGAAGTTCAAAGTATCTTCAACCCAACTTCTCTACCAGTCCTGCCCTTATCAGGCAATAACTTTGTTCATCATTGGCCCATTCCTGGATGCGCTTTTGACTAACCAGAATGTTTTTGCTTTCAAGTATACCCCTCAAGTGCTGGTAAGGAATCATTGCTGACAAATTCCAAACACCCCCTTCCAAAAGAAAAAGAACGAGAGAGAAAATATAGTAGTATTACAGTTTTCTTAGATTTCTTTGTTTCTAATTGTTCCCATGTGCAATCTTTGTTGCAGTTCTTCATTGTGCTGTCCTGCCTGATATCTGTCTCTGTCAACTTTAGTACGTTTCTGGTAATTGGAAAGACATCCCCGGTCACCTATCAGGTCCTAGGACATCTCAAAACATGCCTTGTTTTGGCCTTCGGTTATGTTCTACTTCATGATCCATTTAGCTGGCGCAACATTTTGGGGATCTTGATTGCTGTAGTTGGAATGGTTGTTTATTCATATTATTGCACTGTTGAGAGCCAGCAGCAGAAGGCTAGTGAAGTATCACAATTGCCACAGGTAGTTCTTTGTGTACATGTGTGTGGTTTTAATGACCTTCGCCTACCAAAATGTTATATGTGATCCCTATTTTTCCTGATATCTTGGAATATTTGCTGACTATTCTCCTCTTTCTTGAATGATGCAGGTTAAAGAAAGTGAATCTGATCCTCTAATTAGTGTGGATAACGGAAGTGGGATCTTGAGTGATGGTATTGTTGCAAAAGCTCCTGCATGGAATTCGAACAAGGACTTGCATGCATAAAATTTTCCAAATGTTATATTCATTCTCCCTTGGATGAAAAATTAGTAATCAAATCTGTTCCAGCGACGACGATGTTGCTGGTAAGGGTGGCTTATCTGTTGCGTACCAACAGTTAGGATTTATTTGAACATGACAACTTCTATAGAATGTTAGTTTCAAGAGTCGAAGAAAATGCGTAATATAGCAGTTTTGGTTGTTAGTTGTGTATTAGCATTCAGGCGTGGGAATGGAATGCACACCAGAATTTGATTTGTTAAATGTATAATGTTACCAGACAACGATATTTTTCCTAGCAGTTATTTCTGTTTAGAAAAATTCTATATTTTTGAAGAAATGAAGGAGTATTCACATTGCCATTTGTATTAAAAAATGTTCCTTGGTTCCACCTGGCGAAGTGAAGGATGGTAAAACCTCTTGCCTCCGAAATTGCTATTTCCTGATGGCGGTCCTGTTCACCACCCTGCTTTCGAAGGAGTATCCAAATGCGTTAGCTAATTGTCCTTTTTATTTTATTTTATTTTGTTGAAGATATTAACCAAGAAGCGATCACCAATGAATAGGGAACCAGTTCAAATAAATTCATCCCAGAATGAGGGGCAAATAGACGTATATATGAATATGAAGTATGAGTAGAACTACTATTTGCATGCATTCGGTATTTCGGTGCTCTAGAAAATGCAAAAAAATAAAAAAGTGCATTGCATTGGGTCTCGGTGGTTATCGCGCCAATCGGTGCATCCTTATCTATCTTCTCGACTATGTATGTTTAGAAAGTTTTGAGTCCTGGAAATGAGACACTGTAGTCTATACGCTATTTATAGAGAGCAGAGACCGAAAAAACAAGAGCAAAGGCATATTCTGAGATTTTTACTGATGGCTCTAGTAGTTGCGACTCAAAAAAGCCTGCAAGCACTAACCAGAAATATTGAAACGTCCGGAGGAGGAGTTTTCAAGTTAAACCAAACCATGTCCGCCAACGTCAGACGTTTACGCTCCCTGACCTGCCATATTACTATGATGAACTGGGGCCTGTCATCAGCGCAGAGATAATGGAGCTCCACCACCAAAAGCACCATCAAACTTGCATCACCAACTTCAACCGAGCTTTGTAGCAGCTTGATCATGCCATGTCCAAGGCCGACTCTCCTACTGTTGTCAAGCTCCAAAGTGCCATCAAATTCAACGGAGGAGGTACCTTTTCTGTTATATATCCCTTTCTATATAATTTTCAGGTCTTCTATAAGTGTAATTAATCCTGTAAGTCATTTCTGACTATATTTTTTGAAGGTCATATAAACCACTCGATTTTCTGGCAGAATCTTGCTTCTGTTACAGTGAGTCCAATTCCAGTTCATCGGTTTTTTTTTTTTTCTGAAGCAAAAAATAACGAACAAACTATGGCAGAAAGGAGGCGGTGAGCGTCCGGCAGGGGCGCTAGGTAAGGCTGTTCTCATGCAGTTTGGCTCTCTGGAACGGTTGATTGACGAAATCAATATGGAAGGTGCTGCTTTGCAAGGCTCTGGCTGGTGGTCAGTTTTAAATTCTTTATTTTTCCTTCTTCTTACTTCCTTTGAAATTTTATAGAGTTAACCTTTGCCTTGGGGCCTTGACACAACTACGCCTACCTTGGATTTGTTACAGTGGCTTGCCCTTGATAAAGAAAGGATCTCAAGAGGCTTTCCATTGAAACCACCGCAAACCAGGTCCAATTGCTTCTCAATTCCACTAATTCTAAAACTTTCTCAAATATTAATTTTGTACCTTCCATTTGTTTTGTTATAGCAACATATACAAGTGATTTGATTTGGAAATTGGAACTTGTTGCAGGATCCACTCATAAGCAAAGGATCGAACTTGGTTCTTTTGTTGGGGGTTGATGTTTGGGAGTATACATACTACTAACAGGTGCATCTTTCTATTCTTTCACATTTCATCATCTGCATCTGCTTATGACTCCTGACTGCCAACAACCTGCGGTTGATCCATCATGCTCGGAAGTCTTTCTTGCCCTGTCAGATATAATTTTAGGGAATTTTCTTTTTAGCAAACTAAAGGCAAAATATTAATGCGAACAGCTGTAAGCTGCCAAAACTTATATCCCTCGGTAAATTGCTAAAATATTCTATTATTCTTTAATTTATTGATACTTAACCATTGAACTATTGTTCCTGATGCAGTATAAAAATCTGAAAGCTATCTGGCAAACATATGGAAGGTTATTAACTGGGAATATGCGAGTGAAATGTACAACAAAGCATGTTCTTGAGGTATGATACTTGGTTCCTTGAGCTAGTAAGTTTAAAGCTGCCGGATATATATGTTTTCTGTCCAGGTTTGTGTGTTAAAACTAAATAATTACATGGTTTTCAAGGAGTATCTGATTGTTAATAATGAAATAATCATACATTTATCTCTCAAATTTTAGGGAAATTAATGTCTCCACTTTGGAAAGGAAAATCCTAATAGAACCTGTTTTGCACTCAGAAATAGATTTACGAAGATGCAATTACACATTGATTCTAGTGTTGATTGGTTATGTTCTTTAACAATTGAATTATGCTGGTAATAAAGTACAAAAATGTGAAAGCTGAGTATCTGGACAACATATGGACGGTGAAGTGGGAGTATGCTAGTGGAAATGTACACAAGAGAAATACTTGCTTCCTTGAGTAAGTTTGAAGCTACTGGATGTAGATTGTACAGTTTAGTCTGTTAAGAATTATAAGCATCTGGTTTAGAAGAAGAATCCAACTCTCTCTTGACGATACATCTTGGTCATAAAATTCTGCGGACTTGTTCTAGATATATTTTCTCTTAAATAAAATTTTGTTTTCCTTTTACCTTGCCTCTCTCTTAAATATGTTTGTAATCAATGTGTTTGAGTGCATAACTGAGATGGAACAGGTGATTAATCTAATCCAATGTGTTGAGAGTTGAGACTATGAAATAGAGAGCTTTCTCTTGAAAAGGCTCTTATTGAAGCACTGGAGTTGGGTTAGTTATGTTCATGTTTTTTTTACTACAGCAATGGGAAGTTGTTGAATAATATATGGCAAGTACATTAATCACTTCTTCCGGACATGGAGCAATTGCCATGTCAGATTTTTGTTACCATGGGAAAATAGGCCCCGTCCTGTATGATGCTCCCCATCTTCTTGTAATCAATCGTAAACATGTTAGCTCCCATGCCGCTGCACGTTGCTCCATTTCATGGAGCACCAAAACAGTGTTGATCCCATTTTCGATAGTTGCATGCAGAGATTTAATTGAATCACATAGAGTTGATATAATATATAGTAAAAAATTCAAATTTGAATTTAGCTTGAAATTTGATTTGAATCCAATTAAATTTAATTTTAAAGTGAGAGTTAAATTTAAAATAAAAATCAAATTATTCGAATTTATTTTATTAGGTTCATTTAATAAAAATGAATTTGATTTTTATGCTTGATTTCAAATCCAACTATATATTCAAATTTGAGTTCAAATTTATATATATAGATAAAATAATAATTTTTAATTAAAATAATAAAAATATATTAAAATTTATAAATTTAATTAAACTCACAAATTATTCGAATCGAATATTAAGATATTTAAATTTGACTTATTCGATAAGTAATTTAACTTGACAATGATCAAATTAAATTTAAATTTTATTTAAATCAAAATTAAATAAGTTATGAATATTAATGTATTATTTATACATTTAGCAAAGGGCACAAGCTTCTCCATCGGAGGCATTTCCTGATTTCCTGTTAGTAGTGCTCAGGGTGGTGCATCCTATTTATCAATGGAACTTCATTTAATATGAGCTTTGAGTTTTGATTGATAAATAAAAATTTTAATTTTTTATTAAAAAAAATAAATGTGATTGCAATAGTTTTTTCTATTTCATTTATTAGTATTTTGTTATATAATCATATAATTCGATATTGAAGGGGAAATTTGCAATGACTTCTTCGACTTTTTGTCAAAAAAAATCAATACTAGCAATCCCAAACACCCCACCCCCACATAAGCAACTCGATTCGGGTAAAGTCCGAAAAGTAACCCTTAAATGAGACATAACAGATTATAAAAACAAGCACGAGTTTGATGGGGTCATCTTCATCCTCCTCCCGCCACAAAACCCTAGCGAGCCAGAAGGGGTGCCACACTCAAAGCCAAGAGTCACCGAGTCGAGCCCTATGGTTCTTACTTCAACTTTCAAGATGGTCAGCTACATCTGTTTCTCACTCTTTGTCTTTGTTTTTTATTTTTTAAAATTTGTATATTTCTAGTATATTTTGCATTTTGAAATAGATTTATATATATGTGCGTGTGTGTGGTTTTTGACAGACTTTCAAACGAAGGAATGGAGGGAGAAACAAGCTCGCTGCTCTAACTGCGGCAAATGCTGCCCCAAGGTTTCTTTTTTATATATAAGTTTGCAAATACATTTCTCGACGGAAAACAAAGGGAAAAGCTGTTGTAGCTAATGTTTGAATCGTAGGCGTTTCTGCTTATAAACGATTGAAACTAACATTCTCTTGGTAGATGGTACTTCAACTGTCACCTCTCTTCACTCTTATGCTTGCTTACTATGCTTAGCAAGAGAAAAAGGTTTTGCTGCTTCCAACCAAAGAATAAAGATGGAGAGCTTCCAACCATACCGTTGGTTTCTTTCCTTGCTCAAGAGATTGCCAAGGCAAATAAAAAATTCATTTTATTGATTATAGAACATCAAAACCAGAAAAAAAAAAAAAAAGAAAAAAAAAACATGAACCTTCCTTGAGCAATCCTTCTGTTTTATGTTTTTTACTTCCTAAATTAAGAAAATGAACTGAAAGTGGTTACTTGATATTTCTTTTGCTTTTCTATGTCGCTTTGTTAAAATATATGGTTTGTGATTGGTGTCCAATGACAAAGCTCTCAATAGGTTTTTGGTGAGGAATATCGTTGAGCAAGCTGCAGTTAGAGATGTTCAGCAAGCTTGCGTTTATGAAAGTAATAACTCATTTCTTTTCAAAAAAATTTCTTTCAATTTTGCATTTTCAATTCAATTTTGACTATGACAATTGTTACTCATGATTAACTGAGGATTTATTTTGCTTTGCTATCTCAAGCTTACACTCTTCCCAAGGTTAATGCAAAGATGCGGTACTGTGTTTCATGTGCAATCCACTCTCATAGTCCGATTTCGCACTGATAGGAGGATTCGTGATCCACCTCAACGCTTTAGACGTTGGGTATTTTTCTTTACCTGCCCCTTGAATTTTGCTGTTTGATTAAACCTTTAGCTTTCCGGTATATGTTTGCATTTATTACTGTGAGTTTTAAGGAAACTAAAGCAATTAGCAAAATTAAGCAAGGATTCTTGTTGCTTTAATATTTACTGTTTCATATGGACCATGAGATAAGCAATATTTCTTGACCCTCCTCATCAAGCTGTGTAAAACATAGTTTCAATTGAAATGCATGCTCAGTTTTTGAGTAATGATTTTTTCTACTAAATTCTTGTGGTATTCATTCTCTTGCCTTGATTGGTTCACAATTTTATTTCCATTTGGTATGGAATCTCTGTTACTTAATTCTTCTCATGTGTCTGGGGAGGATCTGCCAAAACCTGGTGTTCCTGGTCAAGCTACACGTCCTGCAGGAGCACGGGCCGGTGCTCGTACTTGAAGTGTAGAGGCTTCAAACTGGGGGTAGTTCATATCCTCCATTTTGTTGTTCATTAAATATTCTCTAAACTTTATATGCTCTCAAGTCTCAACTATATTATTATGTTGATTAGTCTACTATGTCATGTGTCAACAAACTAGAAGCGGTGATAGCATAGTCTGAAAACCAGATAAACCTCATTGAGTTAATGCAGTAAATCTATTACTTTCTAGTGTGCATATCTATGGATTTTGTATTATGTTTAAATATCATATTTTAATTTGCTGTTGCCAATTTAGCCTATGTTAAGTCCATATTACATTGTTCTGAATGATTATTAACTGAATTGGTATCCCTTACTGCAAGTAGTACTAAAACTAGGCTACTACCTCAACATTCTCTTCATGTAATTTTCATTTTAATTGGACATCACAAGTTCCAATAAAATTTTGATGTTGGAGGTAAAGAAGATATGGAATTATTAGTGGCAAAATGAATATGGGAAGAATAGGGAAAAGTACTCAAAGCTAAATGATTTTGTACTAATCTCTTATGACATAGGAGAATTTTAATTAACTGGAAATAACACAATATCAACAAGTGCCTAGCAGTCCACACCATCAAATCATAAATGACGATAATTATCAGGCTCCCTCCTTCAAGTCACAAGCGGTGAAAGCATGAAAGGAAAAGTGCCTAAACTATAAATATACTAATGTGTGCCAAATTGATTCGATTCTAACTTGATATTTTAAGTTCAGATTTGGTTTGAAATATTTTTATTTTAAAATATATTTTGAATATTAAAATTTTTTTTTTTTCAAGTCTGACCCAGGTTTTGAAAAAACTTTTTAAAATTAACAAATTTGATATGACCCCATTCATAAACGGGATTACGTGTGAGTGTCTAGTAGTAGTAGAAGAATGGTACTAGCTGAGAGTAGGGAAGTCGTTATCATTATCGTATGTATAGGCCATAAGGCCATTGCAATTGTGCTATAGCCGGAGCAATGCCAAAACATCAGCCCAGGATAGAGGGTCTCGTTTTCTCTGCAATAGTAGAGTGAGAGTAACACATTTGGGCAGTTTATTTTAGTACGACTTAAGGAGTAATAAAAAAACAAAATTGTCCTGTCTACTGTCTCGGTGGCTTTGCGTGGCGTTGGGGCGCGCCAGGCCAGGCTACGTGTTTGTGAGCTGTGAGACCGAGAGAGAGAGAGAGAGAGAGAGGAACGCGAACGATAACGGAAGAGAAGACGCAGAGAAAGAGAGAAGTAGGGTTTTGTTATTTGTTTTTTGTTCGTAAAGAAATATTATATACTAACCTATCCATTTCATCTTCTTTTTTATTTTCTTTCTTTCTTTGTTTTGTCTCTTTGAAAACCAAAACAGAAAAGAAAACCCATTTCTTTCTTTGCGGTTTCCGCTTTCATCATCAAAGGCTAACAATTTATTGTAGTACTAACAAAACAAAATTCCCCCTTCATCATGTGACCCTCTCTCCACTCCTCTCCTGGCAGTCGTCACTCATCACTCAACACAACACACCAAAAAAATATATATATCGTTTGATGTAATTCCAGTGTGCCTAAACGGTTCTTTTATTCACTGCCGCTGTCTTTGACTCTTTTCTTGTTGATCCAACACTTTGGTGAATCAACAAACAATGGGTGATCTTCGAGTTTGTTATGCCAACTCCAACGCCAACGCCAACGCCAACGCAGATGCTGACGTTTCAAGGGAGGATCCTGATTGCCTGTGCTTTAGGCCTCCGTTTTCCCTGTCGTTGTCGAATCCTGATCAGTCCTGTTCAATTGCGAGACAGAGTTGGGAGAAGGCAGAGGAAACCACGCGTCGTATACTTTGGAGTGTGCAACCAACTTTGGACGCAGAGAGAAAGCGGAAAGAGGTTATAGACTACATTCAACGACTCATTCAAGATGGTCTTGGCTACCAGGTTTTTTCTTCACCTTCCCCAGTTTAATCTCTTGTTTTCCTTTACTTTTGTTTTACCCAAAATTCTTCTGTTTTTTCTTTTCTTCTCTTTTCCTTTTTATTTTTGGGGACATTATTTATATTTCTTGCTTCTCAGTAACGCAAGATGGTTGTGCTCTATATTTGTTCGTTTTGTTGAGGTTTCATGTAATGCAGGTTTCTCACTGTCATTTTTAAGTTTTCACGTGCTATCATTCTAGTTTTATATATAGTAGTGTTTAATTCTCTAAAGTTATGGTTTCATGTTATAAGTGCTATAGTAGTGTTTAATTCTCTAAAGTTCCGGTCATCAGGTTCAAATCCTGATAGCCTTTAATATTATAAGTGCTATATGGTACCCAAACAATACTTCCTCCTTTGCTAGGGAATCAATGCCTTCTTTCTATTTCTTATATCAACCTAATATTGATTATTCATTCTACTTGTTTGTGGTAGTATTTGATTTTTCTGTTTTCAATACATTTCCAAAAGATGCTTATAAGTAAAACAAATGGGCCATACTTATTTGGGTATTCAACATATTAATATGCTTAAATACTTGCGTTTGTTGCGTTCTAAATTTTCATTTTTGCAGGTTTTCCTATATGGCTCAGTTCCGCTCAAGACATACTTGCCCGATGGAGATATCGACTTAACCACGCCCAGTAGTCCACATATCGAGGATACATTGGTTTCTGATGTTAATGCTATTCTCAGGGCTGAAGAGCATAATCAAAAACTCCGTGCAAAGTAAAGGATGTCCATTGCATTGATGCTGAGGTTTATACCTCCTTCTAGCCTTAATTTTGCAAGTCTAATCTGATTCAGTTAACTTCTTTGGTCTTCAGCTTAGGAATAAATTAACGTCTGTATTACCCTTATGCGGAGTCCATATGATATGTGCACTCACTTGTTATTTTCCCCACTGCTTTCTATGAGTTCATTATAGGTTTTTTTTTTTCTCTGCTGGGAGTGCCATGAAGCTGGGAAATACGTAGACAGCAATATGAACATCATCCTTGCTTTTTCTTCCAGGAACGGCTAGGCAATTCCTTTATGGTGGAGTCAGTAGTCATTTGTGCAGACTGAATAGAGTTCAGGGACTAGAAACTGAATAATATAGTTGTTGAAGGGGGAGTTCTTTTTTTAGGAGAAAGAGGGGGTTTTCAGTTGATGCCTAATTTTTTTCTGTTACTAAGTTTATATGAAAGTTGATAATTGTATGTGTGTATGTGCGCGTGTTTGCTTAAAGCTGCATTTTTATCTCAATAGATAAATTTTTGCTATAGCTTTTGATAATGGTCATATATTTTTAGTTTTAGCTTTTTTTTCATTTTTTATTTTCATATGGAAACTAAAGCTTCTTCATGAATGTCATTCTGCTTTTTTTTCTTCCAATTCTTTATTTATTTAAATTAAGTTTGAGTGGCTAAATTTCTTTTCATCAAAGTCTATTGAATTTAATCTGCGCTTTAAATTTAAATAAGTTCTTTTATCAGGCAGTTTTTTCTTTTTTTTTCTACAGACAGCATTTCAATTGGACAGATAGTTTTCAGATTTTGTGTCTAGGCAAAATTCCTTTTTAATGCAATTTTCTTCTCAACAATTTTGAAGTAATTGTTGCTTTACATACTGCTGAAGTAAGCATTAAAAAGAGCAATGTTCAACTGCAAGATTTTAATTAGAGTGCAAGATACTCCTGGTGTATGTTCTCTAAGTTGTGAAGCAGGATGGTAGCTGCATGCTTTTTCTTCACCTTCCCTATGAAAGCAAATATCTTCATAAGTTTTCTTTGGATTGCTGGTTTCAGGTTAAGCTCGTGAAGTGCCTTGTGCAAAATATTGTTGTAGATATTTCTTTCAATCAGTTGGGAGGACTTTGTGCACTATGTTTTCTTGAACAGGTTTGGCATACTGGTTTTACATGTTAATAGCAGTTACGGTTTTTTAGTCATTTTAGATTCCTTAGAGAAGCTATTTTATGTTCCCTCCCCCCCTATGTCTGAGGGCCATTTCATTGTATGTGCAGCTGTTATTGGTTCCTAGAAATGAGTATTATAGAAACTATTCTTGCTGACAATTTCATTACATTTGAATGACTCCTTGATATAGAATGGATTTGGAAAAGTCTATCTAACCAAGATATTGATGACTTCTTGTTAAGTTTGATTGTGAAATTTAAGTTGCAGAATTTGTTGCCTGAAACATTATAAGAAATTAAGAATAAAATAGCTGGTTTGTTTATGGAGGATGTATATCTCATATTACTTATTTGCAGGTTGATCGACTTGTTGATAAAGATCATCTCTTTAAGCGTAGCGTTATCCTCATAAAAGCTTGGTGCTATTATGAAAGTCGTATTCTTGGTGCTCATCATGGCTTGATTTCTACATATGCTTTAGAAACACTGGTCCTATATATATTTCATCTATTTCACTCTTCTTTAAATGGCCCTATAGCAGTAAGTACTTATAGGAATCAATATTTATTAGTGTATGCAACATATAATTAATTTAAACTGTTAAATATTATTGCTTCTTTTACAGGTTCTCTACAGATTTTTGGATTACTTCAGCAAATTTGATTGGGAGAATTATTGTGTCAGCTTAAATGGACCAGTTTGCAAATCTTCCCTGCCTGATATAGCGGGCAAGAAACGCTCCTCTGTCTTTATGAGGTGGGCAGATTGTTAGCTGCTCGACTGATTCGTTTCCCTGCCTCTCTTTGCAGCCGAGGTTCCCAAAAATGTGGGGAATGATCCACTTTTGAGTGAAGAATTTCTGAGTAAGTGCATGAGCATGTTTTCTGTTCCATCAAGGGGGATTGAGACGAACTCGCAGTTGTTTCCACTGAAGCATCTTAATATAATTGATCCACTAAAAGGAAACAACAATCTTGGGCGAAGTGTTAACCGAGGTATGAGGCTGTTTCTTTGTTATGAAATAGGGTCCTATTACTGCCTTAAAAATTCTAGTTAGGCATATACTTTTGTTTCTGTTCCTCACGCCAACATTTTTCTATAATGGTATCACCAATTTTTCGGCCATCCCTGCTTCTCTAGCCATCGTTTGAACTATATAGAAGTATGGAAGTGTTTCGTTTTCCATTCATTGCCTCTTTTCTGTCAATTTACGCTAATGTGGTAGTAATGCAGATATAACATTATTGTATTGCTGGTTCATCATTAGTTCCGTCACTGTCATGACCTCGTTATCCATTGTTGTCGTTGTTTTACCATTTGACCAAATCTTGCACACAATAATGTGACCTTCATTTCTGGTACTGCCAGGCATATCTCTATAATTTTTCCTTTTTTTTTTTTTTGTGTAACTGCATCTGCTTGTTACAAAGGTGGGGAGGTGGAACACTTGCTTCTCCCCTTCCCAGAACATACACTGAAAAGGAAAATAAAAAAAGCTTTTCAGAGTAGCATAATTGAATGGCAAGTTTGGTTTCCCTTTTATATTACTCTTATGATAAGAATCTAAGGTTTGCTACAGGTAACTACTATCGGATTCGTAGTGCTTTCACATACGGAGCTCGCAAGCTTGGACAAATCCTCATTTTACCAAGAGAAAGAATAGTAGATGAGCTTGTTAAGTTCTTTGCAAACACTTTGGACAGGCATGGTAGCAATCTTATGACTGATGTGCAAAATATTCCTACGACTTCCGATGCTAGAAGTTCTGACCATGTAATACCACCAGCATGTGCTAATATGTTCTCAAGGAACTATTTGTTAGAAAAACTAGTGAATTTTGGCCCCACTAACAATAAGATATCAGGATCTATAGCTGCTTCTGGATCTAGATACAAGCTGGGATGCCAATTCAATATTTTATCCTCACAGATAGAGCCAGAAAGAAAAACCAATGCCAACAGAAATGCTGTTTCAGGATATTGTCACCCTGGGGATGCTAAGGAGTTTGAAGTGTCTGAATTACAGGCTATGAAAAGTAAAAATGATTCATCTGATTATTTTCCTCCGAGTAGCAACCTTGGTGCTTCACTCTCTGTGAAACCTTGCATAAACAAACAAAATGGAAGGCTTGAAAATGGTAACTCTTCTGAAAGTATGCTGACAGATTCTATTGTTGTTGATGGTATGAGTTTTGGTCTAAAGCCTTACTCCAAGAACATTTTAGCTGCCCGCAATGTAGTTTGTGAAAGAGAGTTAGCTGGCATTTTTGGGGATTCTGAATCTTTAAAATCATTGTTGGACCTTAGTGGGGATTATGATGGCCATTTTTGGAGTGTGTTTTATGGTCAATGTTGCCATTTATTTTCTGTATCTACTCCTATACTGCCTAGTCCTACTATGTCCCCCCATATACAAAAAGAAAATCATAGGGAAACTGTCGAACAGTCCTTACCCTTAAAACAGGATCTTTATTCTCAACGGGACTCAAATGGTATTTCTGGACCAGAATTTTGCTTTTCCAAGCCTCCTGGTGCCGTCTGCCCTGCTTTTGATTCAGAGGATAAGAAGAAACTAGGAAAGGGAACATATATTTTGAACATTGTATGTTTATTTGAGAACTGTATTCTTGCACCTCTGTTAAATTCACATTTTCCGGCTATATCCGACTCCTGATGCTTAAAAGATTGCAGAATTATCGTTCTAATCCAGAGAGGCCCCCATCCGGGGGAGGAAATCTCCAGGCTCCAAAAGCCCAGAGTCAGCTTCTGAGATGCACTAATAATAATTGCTCTGCGACTGTTCAACAAGAGATGACTTTGTCTCAAGAAGGTAGCCATGAACTCTCACCAGAGGAATACCCAGCTCTGGGCCCTGCGAAATTTGGATCATCCATTACTCATCGACCTTACCAATCCTTTTGGGGTTTATCTACCGCCAATGGTTTAAGTTACCCACCTGAGAGATTTGAATCCGGGTCGTGTAACCTTGAGTTACAGAGCAGACACATGTCAGAAGACAATGTTTTGCCAGAGTCTAACACTCCTTGCACTTCTGGTTCCACACCAAGTGCTATGGTACCTGCAGCAGAGAGCTCTAGGCCAGTTCTTGAAAGAAATGTAGAAGGGTAACAGAATTCTCTAGTATTATAAAATTTTGCTATACCATAGAGTATACGTTACAATCTGGTGATGATTTAGGTTTGTTTTTCTTTCCCAATTTCGTCATCCTCATACTTTTTGAAGGTTGTCCTCTAATTTTTGTGGTATGGGTTTCTAGTGATGCAGGGCAGTTATACCATCTGGAAAATGAACAAGATTTTCCACCTCTGTCCGTCTGAAGGACGGTCAAAACAGAAAATCGGAAGAATAGAAGACAGTAAGCATTTAACAGTAGATGCTAACAACATATCGAAGCCTTTAGTAAGACCTCTTCTCCCCATTCTTTGTTTTCCTTGTTGCATCGGTTGTTTTGAAGTTTTTATTTTAGTATGACATTCAAAACTGTATCTTGTGTCTTGTACATTCTTTTCGTTTGCTTTCCTTCTTGTCGGCTTCCATTAGTGGGTAAATGTTCACTTGGATTTGGTTCGGCATTGGCATAGGTAGGAAAGTCCAAGCTGAAAATTTTGCAAACTCTGCTGCTATATTGGCTATATAATTTTGCAAAATGCTATAGAGATTCAATTGATTTGAGAGTCCTTAAATATATAAAATTTGTGAAAATACAACCTTGGTTCAATGCCATTATGCATCTTTGCATACACCCAATAGCTTTTAGCTACCACTGTTATTGAAGGTAAAAAAGTGAAGCTGATGTATGCGTAATAACAGTGATGAAAGGAATGGAATGTTGTTTGATGTTTAAGTAGTCTATAACCTAGAAGCATTGCATAGCCAAAGCCAACCATGAACATCATTTTGGATTTGGGTGCGAAAAGTTTTTTATTAAAAGCACAAAATAAATTATCAGTGAGAACGTAAGGGAAAGGGATAGCAGATGCGACAAAGGCAATGGAAATAGGACTTCCCTCAAGACGTTCAGACGAGAAGCACCAGTGGTGTAGTTGTAGAATACAGACCTGGGTTGGATTTCCGGCTGGTGCACGTTGGAGCTGTGACGAATCATGGGCCTCGTGTCATAGAGGGTCTATCACTAACGTTTGACTCTTCCGACGCTCTTTTATTATTTTTATTTTTTATGTACTAAACTCCCTTGTTTAAAAAAAATTATTTTTTTCCTTATGCTTTTTTGTTGCTCTCAATAGTTTAAAAATAAATAAAGAAAATGGTTAAAATTTATTTTAGTGTTTGGAGGCATGCAATGCAGGGGGTTGTAGATTATATATATATATATATATTAGAAATATACTTGACGCGGGTGAATTTTTTTTTTATTTTGTCATCTATATTTATCATTTTTTTAAAGAAAAGTTACCTAATTTATCATTTTTTTGAAAAAATTATCTAATTAAAAAATTTTTAGGAAACAAATGAGAATGATATGCGAATTCCTTAATTGATTTTTATAGGGACATTATATAGACATTTCAATTGAGTGCGAATCATTGGATATAAATTATTTCGACATTTCTATCCATCAATTTTTTTGTTACAAAATTTATCTAATTAAAAAAAATTAAAAAGAAAAAAGGTAAATTTGGGTGCCACATGTAGACATCCAACTTTTGTTTGGAAAAATTTCAAAATCGAAAATGGGCTTTAATCATAAAATTGGGTTTGATTGGAACCTTTGGGTCCAATAAAATTTTTTTTAATTTTAATTTGATTTATTTATTTATTTTAATCTTGTTTTAAAAAAAGGTCAAAAGTAAAAAAAAAAAGAGAAATAAGAAAACGAGAGATTTTGGCTTGATTCATGCAAATATTGTAAAAGGAGAAATTCAAAATCAAATCCCAGATTACAAAATCACAATTAGATCATAATCAATTTGATTTATTTTTCAAATTTAAAGGGATTCAATCCCTATGAATAAACAGAAACCACACACAAATGAGGAAGAAAAAAAATTAAATTTCAAGGATTTTAGTTTTTTGGTTTTTTAATTCCGGGGAGGAATCATTCAAGCAAATTTAGGAATTTTTTTTTTTTGTGGTTCTATAATTTTATTTCGTTCTAAGTTTGATTTTATATTCTGTTGAGCTTCTAAGATTTTTGCTAGGTTTTTTTGTTGAGTTTTCAAGAATCTAAAAACTTTTTTTGGTTTAGGATAGAGTTTTCAATTGAAGTTTGAAGTTTTCGCGTGAACTCGGTGACCTACATGAAAATTCGCGCTTCAAGCCGCAAGTTTTTTTTTTATTTGATTTATTGTTTCTCTATTTTTTTACTTTATTTTTATTGTCCCATTTTTCATATTTAATTTTTGCATGATATATTTTTCCTAATATGATTATATATTTTATTTAATTACATGATTATTAATATATTTGTTTGCATGATTTTATTTGTGTGATTCATTTTTGCATGATTATTAATAAATTTGCATGATATTTTTCCTTAATTGCAAGATAGTTTATATTAATTGCATTATATCATATTATTATTGCATGATATTATATTATTATTTGCATAATATTATTTTGCATGACAAATTTTATTTTATTTGATTTTTTAATTTAAAAAGGGATTTTACAAAATAAAAAATTTTAATCTTACCAAATTATTAAAAGATTTTATTAATTATTTTCTATATAAAATTATTAATGAACTTGACGACGGAGACTTTTTAGAGTGAAACATTAGTTTCTATTAATACTTTTGATGTGAAAAAATTATCTTAAATTGCTACCAAACTATTAGAGTAATTTTAAGATCAATTTTTAATAATTAGATTAATTGGTAAAATTATAAGAATATTTCAAGGTTTGAATAATTTGAAATCAAACGATATCATCCTTTGAATAGGTACTGTGAATGTGCTACAACCTTCCTCACGTGTAATTGCACTCTCAAACTTATTATCTGATTTCGTGAATTTTAGAATCTACTATTTAAAGATACCTAAGTCTATTTTGAGACTCCTTTTTAAATATGACAGATTCAGTCATATGACCAATCACACCTAAACTAAAAAAATTGGTGACGACTCCTTAAGTCTATGTCTAGTGATAGGTCTGCGGATCTATAGGTTATAATAATTTTGTGACTCTATTGGGGAAATTGAGAGTTAGACCAATAAATAATTTTCTATTATCCAAGCCTAACATAATAAATTTAAGATTTTTTTCTTTGTTTGTATTTTATTTATTTATTTATTTATTTATATATCTATCATTCACATATACATGCATAATATGAACTCTATACTTGACTTTTGTCCCTTATGAGGGAATAAAGTACTTACGCTTTTGTAAGATTTTATGTACCGCATGAGCTAATAAAAACTCCTATTCAAATTGAATCATTTTTACTTGTAACCTATAATGGGTGAGGATTGAGGTACCTTAATAGTCTATAATGGATAATAATGTAAGGAACAAATTTGAAACCTTGAAATTGTCAAATCTTTGAACCTAACATGTAAATAAACCTTAAAGGTCTGAACCTAGGTTAGAGCCATGCCTTCATTTGTGTTAGAAAACCCTAAATAGGACATATGATGAGATAGTTATTTATACTTGTAAATTTATATATTTTTCTTTGTATATATTATTTGCATACTAACCCTTTCTATTGTTTTGTGTATATATTATATTGTTCTTTGTATATATCATGTTCACTAACCCTTTTCTTTTATTGTATATACATGCATTTATATCATTAAATTCTCCTTATTGCATTTATATATATTTTTTGCATTTATAATTTGATGGTTCCATAAACATCATTTTAAATTTGCACCTTAATTATGAAAAATCAAGGTTCAAGGATAACTCAACACCAGATTACACCTAGGCTCAAGCTAGAAGAATAGAACAAGATAATGCAAGCCATGTTGAGAAATTGAAAAAAGCTCAAAGAAAATCAAAAAAAACTGAGCAAGATCCTTAAAGCTTTGGGTAAACTGAATAAGGAAAAGGTGGCAGAGAGAGATGTTTTACATGAAATTACTAATCCACTATATCCTCCTGATTATAACCGTATTAGGCCCAATCTACTTAAAACTTCCTGTCATAATAGCCTACACTTCCAAGCTATACTTATTCAAGGATACCATCTGCGCCAGCCAAAGGAATATTCAAAACTACATCAATCCTACCTTCACTGAAAAAGCAATTGAACTAGTCCAAGTGCCCAATTTGGACGATCCAAAAGAGAAATTGAAATTGAAGGTGACTGAGTTTTTAGAGGACTTTAAAGCTGATTATATGATGAACATGCATGATGAGAGATTGTAAGTTGTGAAAGACATTGATTTTTATGCTTCCATGGATATAGTTGGGCTATGTATAGTACCAGATGTGGTTATACTTCCAAAATTTAAAATATTAGAGTTTAAAAAATATGACAGTATCAAATGTCCCATCATGTATGTTATGATGTACTATTGTAAGAGGGCAGCCTACATTAGTAATGAAAAGTTACTCATGTATATATTCCAAAATAGTTTAACTAGTTTTGCTATTAGGTGGTATGTCCTGTTGGACATGACTCGCATCCTATCATGAAAAGATTTGACTCATTCCTTTTTCAATCAATATCATCATATTATAGATATGGCTTCCGATCGCCTTTTTTTGCAGAGTATGAAAAAGAAGATGATGAAATCATTCAAAAAAAAATATGTCCAAAAGTGATAGGATATAGCTATTCAGGTCCAGCTACCCTTAATTAAAAATGAAACGATGGTTTTATTTTTGAGCACTTTAATATCATCCTATTATAAAAAGATGATGGGAATGTAACAAAAAAACTTTATTGATATAGTGATTTCAAGAAAAGTTATTGAAAATGCTATCAAGAGTGATAAGCTTAAGGAAGGAGTTGCTAGCAGTACCAAAAAGGGTAGATGCTTAAGTAGAAAGAAGTTGAAACCCAAGTTATGAGTTTTGAAAGGTAATAATTTAGATATTATGCTCCATATCCACCATCTGTTTATCTTGCTTACTACCCTGTAATCAATAATATTACACAACTCCCTTACTAGCCTTATTACCCAACCATAAATAACATCTACCCAAGCCCTTATCAACCAGCCTTTCAAGTACCTTCATATGGGCCCAATTTTATCACTACACTAGTTTTAAAGCCTAATAGTCAAGCGGGTGATTTGGGAAGATCTAGGGGCAACCAAGAGAGAACTTGTATTAATTCTATCCCTATAACCTATTTTGAGCTATTCTCAGAATTGGTCAAGAGTGACTTGGTATCCCTAGTTTTTTTGGAACCATTGAAGCTACCCTATCCCAAATGATACAATGTTAATGCCACATGAGATTATCATAATGAAAACATGGGTCATTCTGTAAAAACCTGCACTACTTTCAAGCATAAGATATAAAGTTTGATTCGAGCATATTCAGTAAACTTTAAGAATCAGGACAGCTGAATGTCCATAAAAACATTTTGCTTGAACACTTAGGAGCATAATTTTGAGAAGGTTGAATGGAATTGCTTGTCATTTTAAGATTTATTTGGAATGATGGACTTCTTTTATTGTACTTAAATTTCATCTTATTTTTTATCATTTTAATAAAAGTGATAGATATGAAGTATTTTCAAAGATTTTTTTAAAATTATTTAAAACGTTTCTAGTTATAAAATGCTTTAAATAATGCTTGTAGACACCCAATTGGGTCCAGGCCCAGATCAATTGGGCCTGGCCCAAATGGGTAAGACCCAATTCAATTTTTATCTTGTATTTTTTTTTCTGTTTCTTTTGTATTTTATGTATTTTATTATTTATTATTATTATTATGTATTAATATATATATATTTTTATTATTAGATTAGATTTATATGTATATAGTTATATATTTATTATTATTTTTTTTTATTTTTGTTTTGTAATATATTTTTGGGTTTATCTTATTTTATTTGTTATTATTTTTTTTAATTATCTATTCTGATTTTTTCCCGATTTTTAGATATTATTTTTTAATTTTTTTATACTGGAATATCTTTTGATTTATCTTTTCTAATTATCTAGTATTTTTTTTATTTTGATTTTAATTTTGGATGGCTGGGATTAAAAGATGAAGAATCCCACTGTGGAGGGGAACTCAATTAGAAGAGTCCAATTGGATTCAAA